GAAGCAGTGGAGGCAAAGCAGAACAGCCAAGGACCTTGATGCTCTCCCTGAACTCCTCCCAGTGATGGTGTCTGGCCCGGGATCACTGCTGCTCTTGCAAGAAGAGTCCCTTGTAGTGAGCGGTGCTTGATTTAGGAGCCCTGAGCTGTGGCTGGGGTGAGGCTGAGGAGGGTTTGTGGATGGAAAAAAATCTAAGCCCTGAAATATTTGAAAGAAGTTTATTCTGAACCAAATTTGAGGACCATGACCCGGAGCCACTCTCAGGAAGCCGTGAGCAAGTGGGCTCGCTGTGGCTGGGTTACAGTTCAGTTTTATACATTTTCAGAGAGACAAGGGTTACAGGCAAAGTCACAAATCAATATATGAGAGGCATACATTGGTTTGGCCCAAAAAGGTGGGACATCTCGAAGTGGGGGCTTACAGGTTATAGGTGGGTTTAAAGATTCTTTGGCTGGCAATTGGCTGAGAAAGTTAGACTTTATCTAGAAGACCAGAAAGGATATGCTTACTTTAAGATAAGGGTATGAGCACTCTGGGACAGGACAGGAGGACGTTTTAAATTTACAATAGGCACCTGCTAGGATGTTTGAGTTAAGATATTTTAAATTTATGATAGGCATCTGCTAGGATGCTTGAGTTAAGACGGGGGCTTCCTATCTTTTAGGTGATGTTAATGCCATACCTGAATCAGGTTGGGAAGTAAACCGCCGCTTCATTTGGTTAACAAAAGCCGCTTAGTAGGAATTTACCATTTGTCAGCCTGACCCAGCTGGCTTCCTTAAGAAAGAGTTTTTAGCAAAAGGAAAAGATCAGAGTTCAGTCCTCAGGTTTGACTCTGCCTGGCCAACTTGGGACCTCCTTCCCACCTTCCCTGGATCTCCTCTCCCTGCCCGTCCCTTTCCGTCTGTGTGCGCTTCCACGCGGTCCCTGCAGAGCTCACAGGCCAACTGCTGGGGGACGGGCTGTGGCTGCCTCCATGTCCAGGCCTCCTGCTACTCACACTCAACTCTCCTCCGACCTCCGCTTCCCCCACCCTCCTTCTGAACAGGCCGTGGGTGTGCACAAGGGACCCGGGAATGTCCAGTTGTTCGCTCCCGAGTATGGGGGCGATTCCTGCTGGAGCTGCTCGGAGCCCCGGAGCAGATGCCCAGTGTGGGAAGGAAGGCAGCTGCAAGTGGGGTCTCCGTCTCGCGCTCTCCCGTGTCTCTCGTCTCTTTCTGTCTCTCCTATATCCTTTCTGAAACAGAAGATGAAGCGCGCAGCCTTTGCACAGTGTCCGTGGGTGTGTGCGCTCCGTCCACGAGCCTTGGGCGAGCCCCTTGTCGCTGGGGGCTCCCACCTTTCCCCCTCGTTTCCAGCGTCTCACACGGTTCTGGGCACGTCGCCTGTGCTCAGTGGATGAAGTGCCCAACACGGGGTGGCTCAGAAAAGCAGAAGTTCCTCATTTCCCAGTTCTGGAGGCTCCAAGTCTGAGACGAAGGTGTCAGCAGGGTTGGCTCCGTCCGGGGCCTGTGCGGGAGACTCTGTCCGGGTCTGCCGGGTGCCGCCAGCCTTTGACATTTCTCGGCTCCTAGAGGCGTCACTCCAATCTCTGCCTTCATCTGCAGTGGCCTCCCTGAGTGTCTCTCTGTGTTCGTGTTCCCCCTTTACATGAAGACCCGCCTCAATGACCTCATTTTAACTTCTGTACAAACCTGTCTCCTAATGTAGTCACGTTCTGAAGTGCTGGGGGGTTAGGACTCCAACATCTTTGCGGGGAGGGGAGGGGACCCAATTCAACCCCTAACAGGACACGATCAGTAGACCAGTTTGGACCAGTTTGGGCAGAGCGGAATGTTCGGATAGCTCTGTCAGGGAAGTGAGGTTGGGAAGGCCGTTTTAGGCTCCACTCCCGGAGTTTCTGTCGCCCCGTGTCTAAGGGGCTGCAGGAGGAGCCAGCCGGCTGTCAGGACGGGATGCATAGAACTAACCACCCGAAAGCAGAATGATTTGCGGAAGCTCCATCCGTGAGGATAAAGGCCTCGTAAACTCCTGTCTCAGAGGTCAGAGGTCCTACCTGAATTAACTTAAGAAAAAAAATAAAAGAAATTTTTGACTCAAATAAGTGAAAATTCCAGGGGTTGGTCCGACTTTGGCTTGAGGCCAGAATAGGGCTAACATTTTAGGGCTGCCTTGTCGGGGTCAGGGCTCCCTCTCTAGCTGTCTCACAGACTGGCAGGTTGGCCCTGAACACCCCAAATTCACATCCCCCCATCTGAGGGCTCCAACAGAGAGGGACTGTTTTCCTACAGCTCTGGGACAAAAGTCATCTGATGGGCCCAGCTGGGGCCCCGGGGTCATGTCTGAGCCAGTGACTGTGGCTGCAGGGAGTGTGTTTTAACTCCATCTGAGTCACAGGCTCACACCTGTGCGTGTGGGCACAGCAGTCCCAGCCCAGCCCCTGGGAATAGACTCCCCACAGGAGGAAGAAGGGGACAGAGACTGGCTCAGTCCATGGGCTTTGGGTTTGGTCCTCCCTCACCAAACTCAGGAAAGTGCGGGCTCTTTGTAGGTTCTCTGTAAAACTTAGTCCAGGCAGAATAAATGGACAAGTAAAGAAGTATTTGTTCAAAATGTGGGTAACCGAGAATTGTGCAAAATTCCTATGGTGTTGAGACAGCCCTGGGACCTGTACCCCTACCCTTCAGTCTTGAAGAAGGAAGAATGTCTCCAAATATAGAGCTCCTCTGTACTTGGGGCTGCATTTGCCTTCCATCCTTTTTAACAGCTTTGAAGGTATTACTTGTGTTCCAAAAACAAAAGTCCTTTGGAAAGAAGCCCCTGAGGCTTGGGAGGCATGGAGTAGGTCTCAGGAAACAGCAGGTGGGGAAGTTCAGTGTAAATGAATGCAGAAAATGGGCTTTACCTTCACTTTGAAACTTGCAGGCAGCTTGCCTGAGGCGTGGTCAGCCCTACTCCCAGAGAAAAGCACTTGAGAAATAATTGGAGGCGTTTTGGCTTTGCTCAGTGGCTTTTCCTTTGTGGTCTGGACAGAAGGCCAGTTCTCCCTCCCACAGCATTTCCTTTTCCGTGACAGTATTTTGTTTCTAATAGCATTACTGGAAAAATTTGTGAATATTAAAAATTGCATTTTTGGTGTTTGGGGATAGATGTGATTTTTAACTTGTTGCAAGTGGCCTCCATTCTCAAGGACAAAGCCTGTCTTTAAGTGAGCCCCAGCCAGCGAGGGTCAGCTGATGGCATGTGCTGCATGGCTTTTACCCAGTGCTTCTCAAACTTCTGGGCCTGCGGAGTCAGCGGGGCCATGTTGCAGCATGGGCTCTGGTTCCATAGGTTTGGTGTGTCTAGCAAGCTGCCAGTGATACTGGTCTGGGGACCACATTTGGTGGCCTGGAGCAGGCCTTGCTACTCCTCATTCCTCAGGGAGCAAGTGCTCACCCTCCACTGCCCGCCACTGCACTGCCACAGCCTCCAGAATGGCCCTGGGAGCCACTGGGGTGAGACAGACAGCTGCATGGCCCCGCATTTCCCGCATGGTCCATAGGGTAGTGGGTTGGCCTTCTAAAGCTCTCTTCCCTATGTTGGAGCTAGTGCTGAGCCTCCGGCAGGACCCAAAGCTTGCGTTTCCAGGAAGGAAAGGTGAGACAGACACTTATGCTGAATGGGCTGGCTAAGTATACATATTCAACAGGTTATAGGAAGAGCTACTGTGGTTCAAGGTTCATAATTTGTAAAGGAGAACCTTTTTTCTCATGAAGGGTTGCAGCCTGCAGGTGCCTTCTTATAGGCTGAGTAGCATAGCCTGGGGCAGAAACCAAGAGCAAGCACTTTTTCAGGGGAGGGGTAACGGGAACAGGAATTTGTGCCCAGCGGGTGGTGGCTGGATATGCATGTTTAATAAGCTATAGGAGGAGTCATGAATATTTGTGAAAGGAGAAACAGGTGCATGTGCAATGGAGTTTCATGTTGCTTCGTAGGACCCACATTCAAAAAATGGCCATGATAGCAGGATCTCAGGGTGGAGTTTCTGGCCCTGTGACATCAAGAGGTGAAGCAGAAGACACAAATTGCCTCTTCGCAGCCTCCGTAGACTGCCCAGAGCCACACCGTGCTTGGTGGTCTCTTATCGGGAAGGAATGCTGGTTAGTTGGGCTGAAACCACAAAAGGGAAGAGCAGCATCAGGTGGCCAGGTGAAATCAGCAGCGGAGCCCTTTCCAAAGGGCTGGTTTCTGCTTAATCCTTAGGGAAGAGAACCTAATGGCAGGTAGCGTGGGAGGGGGTATGACAATGTGTGTCCAACTTCCTTTCCTGTTGGGGCTGGGATTTCAGCTTATAAAGTTGCTCTGGGATCCCCTTGGCCAAGAGAGGATCTGTTCAGTTGGCTGGCGGGGGCGGGGGGGGAGAGGGGCGCTTGGGATTTTATTTTTATATATCCCTATGAATATGCACAAAGGGGGAGCGTGCATGTGTAGTTAGCAAACGTGCATGTTACATAGGTCCCATGTTCACTTTGGGGTGGAGACTGAACATCTGAATGCGTTAAAATTAGGCTGCATTCATCAAGAGGGGAAATGGTGGACGCTGAAGCATCCTGTGCAGCAGAACCAGTCCACGGTCATGGTCAGGAAGGAGCGCCGGTCGGTCGTGTGCATCGGCAGTGAGCGAGTGTTCCGAGAGGGCCGGTTTCTGCTTTGCTCTTAGGAAAGATCCTAATGGCGGTTTGCGAGGGGCAGGGGATGGCGAGCCGTGTCTGACCTCCTGCCTAGTCATAGCTGGGAACTCAGTTTTTAAGACTTCCCTGGAATTGCCTTGGCCAACAGGGACCTGCTCAGTTGGTTGGGGGGCTTGGGATTTTGTCTTTATTTCTCGGAGCCAACGTTAGAAGCTAGAGACGGGGCTGTGCTGTGCCCGCAGTTCCCACGCGAATCGGGCCCCTGGCAGAGACGCCGCGGGTAATAGAATAACGAGAGTGAATTCAAACCCGTATTTCTGTCCCTAGATCCTAACAACTACTATCACCGACGGAACGAAATGACCACCACCGACGACCTGGATTTTAAGCACCACAACTATAAGGAGATGCGCCAGGTAAGACCCAGACCACAGGGTCTCATGCCAGGGATTGTTCGAAAGAGCAACGTATCATGTGCCCGTAACACTTCACTTTTTTTCACCCCAGAAATCAGGATGATGTGTCAGAGACAGGGAACGGAACGGCTGTTTGGTTTGCTGAAGACACACTAAGTGCTTGTCCCTTCAAGGTCTGGGGTTCTGGCGGCCGCAGGGAGGCTTCCTGGCTGGCAAATGGTTGAAACACAGGTTGAATCCAGGTCTTCTGATAGAATCCTCCAGGTGTTAGGAATGACAGTACGTTTTCAGTGCTCACACTGATTTAAGGATGTTGGTCATAGGTGGATTCAAAGAAGAAAAAGGATCTAGAATAGTGCTTAGAGTGATAATAGCGGGAAGTGTTCACGTAGGGCCAAATGCTGTGCTCGGCAGTTTACATACGTGAACGTGTTTAACCCTCCCACAACCCTTGGATGGTAGGGACTGTTGTTAGTTACTCATGGATGGGGAAACTGAGTCATTGAGTGACTATAACACTACCCCTCGTTATTCAGGTGCTCAGAGTTTCAATCGTGGCTGCATATTAGAATCGCCTGGGTGAATTTGTAAGCTTCCCTGTCACTGAGCCCCGGCTCGGGCCAACTAAAGCAGAACCCTTCAGAGAAAAGGAAAAGCACTCTCCTGAGGCTGCCGCGGTCCAGCCCGGCTTCAGAACTCCTGCTTGGTTCCTTTAGTAGCTCTTAGTGCCGTCAGAAAGGACAGGCAATCCCAGATGAGAGTTTCCCCCAGATTTCATCACAGGAACCCAGCAACTCTGAGTTTTTAATGGCATTTGCGTACCCGATGCAGAAAGGGGAAGACACCACACGTCTGTTAGGACAAGCTAAAAGGCAGTCCCTATGCTGAGCGCGTCGTCTGTGAAACCCTGTTCCGCGCCCAGCCCGGCAGGTACTAGAAAGCGTGGGGAGGTGCTGGCCAACGAGGAGCCCTCAGCTGAGACTCTGAAGAGGCAGAACCAGCAGAAACGTCCTCGTGAATACATCTGCAGAGCGAACACGCGCCATGGGCAATGGACACGGCGCAGAGGGAGGGCTCGCAGGGGCGGAGGGAAGGCAGCAGCCGTCCAGGACAGACGTGAGGGAGGCATCTGAGGGCGGCACAGCCAGGCGGAGCCCCAGGCCCACGGAATGAACAAGCCTGTTCATCTTGGTGAGATTTAACTTGAGACACTCACACGCAGCTTCCAGACACCTGTCAGCACAGACTTAGAGGTGGGATGTGCTAAAGAAATCTTCTCGCTGTCTTGCTCTTCAGAAATCAAGATGACGTGTTTGGACTTGGGGCCTGTGAGTCATCCCTGCTGCTCCACAGTCTCGGCGTTTGTGTGACTCCACTCGCCATTCCGCCTTACACGGGCGGATTAACTCTGCCTCGCTGCCTGGACATCTCAGGATACCTTTTAAAGCCCAGAAACGAAACCAACATCAACTCAGTGCAATTGATGTCAAAAGCAATAAATCTGAATGCATTTAAGATGAGCAAACTGCACAAGGAGAGTCTAGGGAAATGGTAACTTTGCAGAGTTGTCCAGTGTGGAGAACTGGGCTGTTTTCTTACAAGCAGAGCTCGTGGGCAGTACTTCATTCCACTAGGCAACTCTGATCCCCATGAGGGCTAAGAAGAGCCTTTGGATGGTCAATGCAGCCCCCTCGGGTGACACTAGGGGACACCTCTGAGGTCCCAGAGCTCAGCAGCACTCAGCTGGAAGCTGTCCAGGGGAGCACCCATCAATCCTGAAGAGTGTTCAAGCCAGAAATGGTTTGCCATTTGGATTCCTGTCTCCTACGGATGGGAAGGAAGACAGCATTTTTAGTAATTTGCCCATATGGAGTCTGCTTGGTTACTGTAGACATCTTTCTACCTAGGAAAAAAAAATGGTTCGTTTTTCCTACTATTGAAAGAGACATTGATAATAAACAGAAGAAAGAAACAGGAGCAGGAAGCAAGGAGAGACAATAGAAAACCTATTGCACTGTGAGAGGAGAGTCGTGAGAGTACGTGTGACTGAGGGCGCCTCCGCGTAAGGCGCTGTTCCAGGCGGAGGGGGCAGTGGGTGGGCGTGGGGGGAGGGTGCGAGGAGGGAGACAGCCCCCACGTGGGCACTGCCAGGTGGAACGAGAGAGTTGTTCCAAGAGAATGCTGAAGCCCTCCTAGCGTGTGTCGAGGTTTATGTGTACATTGTCTGCCTCATTTGGGACAACGAAGCCAGTGACCCTGCCATCTTATCACACATCTGTAGTGTGCATGTGATCGATCGGTATATTTGCGGTCGTTACAGTCGGGGGAGATGAGAGGGAGAGGAGCCCCATCTGCTTGGCCGTGGCTGGGGGCTTTGGTTGAGGATGGGGTCAGCTGTCATCTAAGGTGAGTGGCCGTGTGTGGGGAGGCAGAGACAGAAGGGAGGGTGCTGCAAGCAGAGAGGACAGCCAGAGCGAAGGTGTGGTGGCAGGTGTGCTTCTGGCTCAGTTGGCAGTCAGCTGGGAGCAGAGGCTGGACCCAGGTCTGAGGGGCCAGCGGAGGTTCTTAGGGGAGCGGAGCCGTGTCTCCGGAAGTTGTGTGGCGGGCAGGTTGGCGAGTAGTTGGGCCGTGGGCAGCAGGGAGGGGGTGCCGGGTCTGAAGGAGAATGGGCAGAGGCATTTCTGAGGCCGGCTGGCGCTAGGTCACCTGTAGGCGTGAGTCGTGGGGGAGAGAGGGCTCTGGTGTGCTTCTCTGGGGGAGTGGGGTGCCCTTCCCAGAAAAGAAAGAAGTGGAAAGAAAGTAAGAAAAAGGCTAACAACTGACTTTGGTGTGGGGGACAGCACTATCAGGTCCCAAATGCTCAGGACACACTGACGTGTTGGCGGGGACGTAGCCTGTGAGACAGGCAGAGAGCGGGGTGGGACGGCTGCCAGCCAGTGGTGTTGGGGCAGCCGAGGGTGGCCAGGTTAGTCAGGCTGTGGGGACAGCGGCCGACCTGCCACCTGCTCCGTGCCCAGCCTGACCCTGGGACCTAAAGGCTCGTCCTCCACAGACCCGTGGCTCCAGAGACTCAGCCGTTTTCATCTTCTCCCCCATTCGTACCCAGCGCTTGACCCTCTGTGTTCACAGAACTCATAGGATTTTGCCCAGAGGCTGGTCATGTCATTGCCCGAGTGTCTTGGGTAATACTGGCGCGTTAGCCGTCGTCCCCGCTGTCCTCACCGTCGCAGTGGCAGTGTTGCAGGTGCTCCGGGGAGCGGAGGCATCACGGGTTCCCAGCTGCAGTCCTGCTCCGGAGCGTTCGGCCGCCTCTCAGCTCCCGACGAGCGCTGACAAGGCACGAAACGTGCCCCAACAAGTGCCACCGTGCATGTAGTTCTGCCATTCTCTACGAAGCATTTTCTTCTGAACATTGCCAGAAACTGAGGCTCTCGGTCTCCCTCAGCAGGGAGGGAAGCGGCAGAGCCCAGGACTCAGCAGACCCCACCAGGACGCACAGTGTATTCCCACCCCAGAGTTGGGGAAACAGAGTCTCCCAGGCCATGAGTCTTGCAAAGGCTGGTACTGTCAGGGCGGCGTTCCCCCAATGCTCTTTTTGGTCACTTACCTCCAAGGGGGATTTTTTCTCCTTAATATTAATACCCCTCCTCCATTATATTACATACTAAGAAATAAGATTTTTCAAGCTAGAGTGAGCTTTGGAGGACCCCAAAGCCTTGCAACACCTAAGATTTTTATAGGCCAAATTTTCACTCCCTCGGGGGTGATGCCACCCTCCTGGGAAAGCGTGCTCTAAGGCCATGATGGAAATTCTGGCCCTTACTCTTCATTCATCAACATTTGCCACAAAGACCCAAGCTCCTGAAAAACATCTTTGACTTTTTTTCAGGAATAATTGCGTGTGTTTGTAAGAAATAGCTGCGCTTAAACAGGGAACTCCATTCCCAGGGATGTTCGTGTTGGCTTGCTGGGACGGGCAGGGTGGGTCGCCACCCACGTCTTTGGTGGTGCTGGTGGCCACCGGAGAGACGCTTCCGGGCACTCCAGAGGTTCCCCTGCACAGAGAGGACCGTAAAGAAACTTCATAGAGAGGAACGTGCTCCAAATGCCCGTGTTCTCAGGTGGGCAAGATGCTAGATGCCCGTGACACCACATCATGATGGCATGCGGTTCCTCTATTAGCTGGCACTGTGCTGTTGGTGGGAACGTGTGGCCATGACAGTGGGGAGGATATTGGGAAGGGATTCTGGTGGCTCACGGCCCCAGCATCTTCCTGTGTCCACGGCTAAGCGTGCATCCCGAGCAAAGATGATACTTGTCGTCTTCCAGTGTCAAGGTTGTGCTCTGTAGTCCTGGCAGCACATTTCTCCTGGAGCTGATTGAAGGGATGGGGGAAGGGGGGTGACACTAACGGACAGCCAGGCCCCTGCGGAATGTTCGCATTCTTTGCCTGCTCAGTGCCTGTAGACCTAGTCGTTGATCTGAACGCAAGACAGTGGATCACCTGCCGGTCAGGGTTTGCTGAGGTCAGCGCTGGTGGCTGAGAATGACTGCGCACCAGCAGGGACTAGCACACGGGTCGGAGGAGATGGCGAATGTCATGGTGAGCGGCAGACAAAACGGGCAGCAGAGATGGGCCAGTTCCCATTGCCTTAGTGCACCTTCGTAGACAGGTAGGGCTGTGGGAGGAGCCCTAAGAATCCAAAGTCCTGGCTCCACCTGCTAGCAGCTGGGTGACCCAAGGCAAATCACTCAGTGCCTCCCTGAGCCTCGGTCTCCACATCTATAGAATGGGGACAGCCACCTGCCTTATCTCCTTCCTGATGGTCATGGTGGTGAGAGTCAGTAGAGAAACAGAACGTCTTCTTACTGCTCTTGTTGACATTATTAGTGACATTGTTACTGTGTCTTTTGTTAAAACGTGGTGCCACTCACAGGGGGCCCGAGCCACCCTGCAGTGTTTATCCTCATGGTGATGGCCACAGAGGCACCATTTCTCTTGCATGTTCTTTCTCCATTTATGGTGGGTTTCTGTTTGGGCCTCTTGTGATGCGAACCAGAGTCCCGCGTAGCCGGCTTTCTCTCACCTAAATATTTGTGACACTAAGTGAGTTATCATAAAGGGAAGCACGTTTGCCCCCAGGAGCAGCAAGGGTTTTAGACCCTGAATTCCCAACCAAGGCTGCCCTGTCATTCCTAGTAGGTGCGTCATAAAAGCCAAGCTATAGTAGCAATAAATCCTCGCGCTCTTTTAGAAATGTTCCTCGATGCCTGTTAAACCTGCTCTGCCCCGTCATTACGGAGAGTTGTGTTATGAAAGACAAATGAAGCATAGCAGCGGTATAACTCCACTGTATCATAAATTCGACATAATACCAATTTTCCAGTTCTAATAGATTTTAACCCACCATAAAATTTGCAACAGATTTGTTTGTTTACACTTTACAAGGCCATTTAGTGGATAATTCGCTAGATCAGGAATTTTTCGGAAGCTTGTTAGAGCACATTCGGGTCCACGCTGTGCCGTGCGGGCCACTCCCTCCTGTGCTTCCCCGCCAGCTCAGGGGCGGTGCGCCGATCAGAGCGATGGCACCCTCCTCAGTGGCACCCACCCACCGGCCACCCTGCTGGAATGTTCTCCCTCTCTGCTTCTGCGGCACCCGAGTTTCCCTCCTGCCCTTTAACACACCGTCGTGAAGTTGTCCCGGGAACGTGCCAGCCCCCACCACGAGCTACCTGGTGCTTGGTGCGGAGCGGGCCCCTCGGTAAACATCTTTCACTTGGGGACTGCCGAACACACCGAACCCAGCCCATCAAAGCCACTTTGCAGCTCGCTCACAGGCACTTGTTCCGCACACGAGGCAAGTCAACCTCCAGGCAGGGGCGTCCCTGGCCCTCCTCCTCCCCGGGCAGCTTGTTCTCCTGCGACTGTCAGAGCCGTCCTCACCTCATCCGGCAGCTTGTCTCATTCTCGCAGACTGAAGCTGTCATTCCCACTAGCTAAGTTTAAAGACAAAATTCAGAAAATAGCATGTATTTATTTCACTTCCTTGCTGAAACCTGCTTTTCCTGCCGTTTAACCCTGTTATCCCCGTTGCCATGGCAACCCTGTGCTCTCCCTACTTAGGGCCAGTGCCTGCCTCCCCCCAGCGCAGCCTGCAAGCTCCGGGAGGGCAGGGGCTTGCGGGCCAGGGCAGTGTCGGAGTCCTCGGCCCGACAAGGTAGACGCTCACTAAATTACGAAAAAAAAGTGATATGCAGTGAGAAATATTTGTTTTGTCAGGGATAGAAATATAAAAGGCGCAGTCTGTCCCCTGCATCTGCAGTCTAGTGAGGGGCAGTAGGAAAATAGGAGATTGCAGTGAAAAAAGTAACGAACACAACCAAGAGAGGTGGTAACCTCACTCAGGGAGGTGACAACCACAACCAAAGAAAGGGTCTCAGTCCCTTTGGCCTGTGGTAACAGAGACACCATAAACTAAGGCCGGGCGCGGTGGCTCACGCCTGTAATCCTAGCACTCTGGGAGGCCGAGGGGGGCGGATTGCTCAAGGTCAGGAGTTCAAAACCAGCCTGAGTGAGACCCCGTCTCTACCATAAAAATAGAAAGAAATTAATTGGCCAACTAATATATATAATATAAAATCAGCCGGCATGGTGGCTCGTGCCTGTAGTCCCAGCTACTCGGGAGGCTGAGGCAGGAGGATCGCTTGAGCCCAGGAGTTTGAGGTTGCTGTGAGCTAGGCTGACGCCACGGCACTCACTCTAGCCTAGGCAAGAAAGCGAGACTCTGTCTCAAAAAAAAAAAAAAAAAAAAAAAAGAAACACCATAAACTAAGTGGCTTAGAAACAACAGAAATTTAATGCCCACGGTTCTGGAGGCTGGGAAGTCCAATGTCAAGGCACCGGCAGATTGGGTGTCAGGGTAGGGCTCGCTGCAGTTCATAGACGGTGCCTTCTTGCTGCGTCCTCACATGCGGAAGGGACATGCAAGCTCCCTTGGCCTCTTCTATAGGGCACCAGCCTCTGGTGGCTCGGTCCTCATGACCTAGTCACCTCCTGAAGGTTCCGCCTCTCAACACTATTGCCTTGGGACTAGTTTCCGCATATGAATTTTGGGGGCGCGCACACATTCACCACCACAGCAGGGCGTGGAAGTACAGGCGGGGTGGGGGCGATGGCCAGGAGCTCCTTCTGGAGGGGACGAGGATACAGCAGGTGCTGGGAGGAAGGGTGGGGCCGTCCCGGGGAAAGGGACACAAGGAAGGCATCCTGGGCCGAGTGACACTTGCTGGGATGCAGGAGGGTGGGGAGTTTCGGAGGCTGTGGAGCGGAGCAGGACGTGGCTGTCTTCTCGGGCTCTGCCCTTCCGTGGGTAGCCAGCCTGGCTCAGAACCCTGAACCCACTTTGCATTTCAGTTGATGAAGGTCGTGAATGAAATGTGCCCCAATATCACCAGAATCTACAACATCGGCAAAAGCCACCAGGCCTGAGCTGTACGCCGTGGAGATCTCGGACCGCCCTGGGGAGCACGAAGTCGGTGAGCAGGGACCCCTGGGAGGCCGGAGACCCGCAACCCCACTGGAACATTCGTGAAACAGGTGCCAGCTGTGCATGCAGCGACCCTCTCCGTAGACACTTTCTGCACCTGTCGACGTCTGATCTTACGATAGGGTCTGTAGAACTGTTGGGACTGGAATGCCCTCCTTTGCTCAGGTGGGCCATACTTCATTCTGTGTCTCCACCTCCAGTCACAACAGCCAGAGGAGAAAGTGGCTGGGCAGTTAGGACAGAATTTCCTTCTCTTCTAGGATCCGAGATCAATAACAGCTCAAATTAGAGAGCTTCCCTTCCCTTTGTTTTAGATATTTCCTGTTTTTCAGTCATTTCCCATCCAACGCTCCCAGCCTGTGTTCCTAGTAGGTCAGGTGAGCTTCTCTGATCTCTTCTCGCAGACTGAAGCTGTCATTCCCACTAGCTAAGTTTAAAGACAAAATTCAGAAAATAGCATGTATTTATTTCACTTCCTTGCTGAAACCTGCTTTTCCTGCCGTTTAACCCTGTTATCCCCGTTGCCATGGCAACCCTGCGCTCTCCCTACTTAGGGCCAGTGCCTGCCTCCCCCCAGCGCCGCCTGCAAGCTCCGGGAGGGCAGGGGCTTGCGGGCCGGGGCAGTGTCCAAGTCCTCGGCCCGACAAGGTAGACGCTCACTAAATTACGAAAAAAAAGTGATATGCAGTGAGAAATATTTGTTTTGTCAGGGATAGAAATATAAAAGGCACAGTCTGTCCCCTGCATCTGCAGTCTAGTGAAGGGCAGTAGGAAAATAGGAGATTGCAGTGAAAAAAGTAACAAACACAACCAAGAGAGGTGGTAACCTCACTCAGGGAGGTGACAACCACAACCAAAGAAAGGGTCTCAGTCCCTTTGGCCTGTGGTAACAGAAACACCATAAACTAAGTGGCTTAGAAACAACAGAAATTTAATGCCCACGGTTCTGGAGGCTGGGAAGTCCAATGTCAAGGCACCGGCAGATTGGGCATCAGGGTAGGGCTCGCTGCAGTTCATAGACGGTGCCTTCTTGCTGCATCCTCACATGGCGGAAGGGACATGCAAGCTCCCTTGGCCTCTTCTATAAGGGCACCAGTCCCACTCGTGGTGGCTCTGTCCTCATGACCTAGTCACCTCCTGAAGGTTCTGCCTCTCAACACTATTGCCTTGGGGACTAGGTTTCCGCATATGAATTTTGGGGGGCGCACACATTCACACCACAGCAGGGCATGGGAAGTACAGGGCCAGGGTGGGGGCGATGGCAAGGAGCTCCTTCCTGGAGGGGACGAGGATACAGCAGGTGCTGGGAGGAAGGGTGGGGACCGTCCCGGGGAAAGGGACACAAGGAAGGCATCCTGGGCCGAGGTGACACTTGCTGGGATGCAGGAGGGTGGGGAGTTTCGGAGGGCTGTGGAGCGGAGCAGGACGTGGCTGTCTTCTCGGGCTCTGCCCCTTCCGTGGGTAGCCAGCCTGGCTCAGAACCCTGAACCCACTTTGCATTTCAGTTGATGAAGGTCGTGAATGAAATGTGCCCCAATATCACCAGAATCTACAACATCGGCAAAAGCCACCAGGGCCTGAAGCTGTACGCCGTGGAGATCTCGGACCGCCCTGGGGAGCACGAAGTCGGTGAGCAGGGACCCCTGGGAGGCCGGAGACCCGCAACCCCACTGGAACATTCGTGAAACAGGTGCCAGCTGTGCATGCAGCGACCCTCTCCGTAGACACATTCTGCACCTGTCGACGTCTGATCTTACGATAGGGTCTGTAGGACTGTTGGGACTGGAAATGCCCTCCTTTGCTCCAGGTGGGCCATACTTCATTCTGTGTCTCCACCTCCAGTCACAACAGCCAGAGGAGAAAGTGGCTGGGGCAGTTAGGACAGAATTTCCTTCTCTTCTAGGACTCCGAGATCAATAACAGCTCAAATTAGAGAGCTTTCCCTCCCTTTGTTTTTAGATATTTCCTGTTTTTCAGTCATTTCCCATCCAATCGCTCCCCAGCCTGTGTTCCCAGTAGGTCAGGTGGGCTTCTCTGGCTCTTTTTTTGTTTTTGTTTTGGTAAGTCTGGGAGGTATTTAGAAATTTGCTGATATTTAGGTGCAAAGATTTGTCTGATCCATTCCACTTCGACATTCGTCATCATCTCAGGTTTCTTTTCAATGGCGAGAGCTTTGCCTGCTGGTGAGATCGCGTTTCCCCGCGGCAGCGGCTTTGCCGGGGAGGGAAGGAGCCCAGAGCTGACAAAGCCCAGGCCGAATCTGCGTGGGCTGCTGTAGCAAAATACCTGAGGTGGGGGGATCTGTAAACAACAGGGATTTATCGCTCTCTGTTCTGGAGGCCGGGACATCCGAGACCAAGGTGCCAGCAGCTCAGTGTCCTGTGGGGGGCGCTGCCCCACTCTGGTGCCTTCTTGCTGTGTCCTCACATGGCGGAGGGAGAGGGCCAAAGTGCCCGGCTAGGTCCCTGGAGCCCTCCTATGGGGGCACTAATCACGTTGAGTCTTAGGTTACGACATAGGAATTTGGGGGGGACACATACATTAAACCGTAGCACCCCCAACATTTCAAAAGCTGAGCTTTGAAGGAGGAAAAACTCCAAGGCTGCCCCCTTTACAAAATGGTGTCACTGCTGATTTGCCGTGACGGACTGTTTTCCGCTAATAGTCATTCATCTTTGTGTCTTTGTAAAACTTAATAGAAAATTCTTTTAAGAAAAATAATTGCCTCCCAGATGATAAACATAATTGCTATGGCTCATGGTCAACTTGTAAATTGTAAACCCCAAACGCTATGCTATTTTACCTGTTCTTGGTAAGTAAGAATGAACATTATCACCGTGTGCCTCGTATCATATGTGATTTTTCTAGACGTTTTCTTATATACCTGACTGTCTGGGAATAAGGAAATTGTCCTGATATAATTGTAGGGGTTTATTTGAAAGAAGAAATAGGGCTAAAATTCTAAGTTTATGTTAGTATTAGTGAGAGATTTCCGCCCCCCAACCCAATGTGGTAAGCACGGTTTGGCTGTGAGCATCTCACCATGCACCTGTGTTTCCCTCCGTCCCTGAGCGAAGGTGAGCCCGAGTTCCACTACATCGCGGGCGCCCATGGCAACGAGGTGCTGGGCCGCGAGCTGCTGCTGCTGCTGCTGCAGTTCCTGTGCCAGGAGTACCTGGCCCGGAACGCACGCATCGTCCGCCTGGTGGAGGAGACCCGGATCCACATCCTCCCCTCGCTCAACCCCGACGGCTACGAGAAGGCCTATGAAGGGGTAAGGGGAAGGGGTAAGAGGGCATTGGGGGAGGGGATGCATGCCCTCCCCCAACGCCAGCAGCAAAGCCCCCGATCCAGAGAACGCCCGGCCAGGAGTCTGTGAAATCCCACCTTACACTGAGCTTTGCCTTTGAGCGTCTCTCTGCTGACACCGGGGAGCCCACAGTGCTCATGCAAGATGCAGAGTAGGAATTGAGAATTATGGAGACCCTGAGCGCTGGGCATGCCAACTAAATGGAGAAAGTTAATGAGATAACAATGTCGCCACACACACAATGATTAGTGTACAGTAGGAAACTATGTTGCCTGAGCACTTGATCATGGTGATAACCATGGTTATTGCCTCTAATGCTCTCATCAGTCCTCTGAGGAGAGTTGTTTCTGTTGTTCCGATACATTATTTATGTCTCTTGTTCGAGTTATGATATGGAATTTGTATAGATGTAAATATGCATAGAGTATACATATATATTAATAGATTTATGTATATAGAGAATATAGAACATAGTTAGTATTGTGTTGTGTTGTGTGTCTAGACAGTATCTGGGAATGAAATGGAAAACTGTATTTAAAATGATGGCGCCTACCAAGTGCAAGCTTTATGATACAGAGCACAGACGTGCAGAACTTGGGCTGTGTTTATTGGTGCATACAGATGGTTAGGGATTTGCATAGTTAAATAGTGAGCCAGGCTCGTGGGCAAGGCAGGGAGGGTGCATTGCTGTGGTGGCTCTTGATCCTGCAATGATGAACTCTGAGGTTCAGCTGAACGGCGCGGAAGGGAGGAAGGCAGGGTGGAAGAAGGGACGATACTCTTTGAGCACTTCTATGTGGCAGGAGTGGCCTCTGCATTCCCTCCTTGGAGAGAGTGGCTGTGTCACCCGTCACCCACCGAATATTAATAGAAGGCTTTCCAACGTTCTCCATGGGATGCCATCCTTGGGTCAAAGGGCATCCAGAGATGCCCCAAGGGGAGGTGGACACGGGTGCATCTAGTACGGCAGAGAGTCAGGATTGCCCTGCAGCCTGTGGGCTCTTCACACTCCCATTTGTCCCCAGGGCTCGGAGCTGGGCGGCTGGTCCCTGGGACGCTGGACCCACGACGGGATAGACATCAACAACAACTTCCCTGACTTAAACACGCTGCTCTGGGAGGCAGAAGACCGACAGAACGGCCTGAGGAAAGCTCCCAATCACTACATTGCAATCCCTGAGTGGTTTCTGTCGGAAAATGCCACGGTGAGTAAAAATCCCCCTCATTGTAGAGCACGGAAGGCCAGGTGTAACCCCACTGGTATTTGCAGAGGATGTGACATTTAACAATGAGACAAAACCGTTTTTTCTTTCATGTTTTCTCTAAAAAAGCAGGGAAATGTGCTAGATAATAACTACCTTTTAAATTGATATTTGGGGAGATTCTTCTTAGAAGAGAAATCATTTAATTATATTTCTTAACGATCATACAAAGCTGCAAAACCAAAACAGCCTCCCCTGAAGTGTGCATGCTACCATTGCCATCCTCAACGCAGTCAGTTACACCACTGTGAAATTGTCCTCAGCCTTCACGGATTGCTTCAGATACTTTATTTTAGTGAGTCCCCATGGGATTACTATGTGTGGCGTTTCTTTGGAAAGAAAAGCGAAATTGGATGATAAATGTTTACCCCAAATTTCTCAGGTCTTGTTTCACAAAGAGTATGTTGTAGAAGAAATAATTCTTGCAGAATTTCCTGTGCCTTTTATTGCCTTCTCTGACCATAGTAATTGGCCTCTTTACCCTTATTCTTTGGTTGTATTTGTCCTTCACGAGGTCTGCCTTGATCGGTATATAAGTTTTTGATAGGTGTATAAGTTAGTGTTTGGTTCAGCTGCAGCAATAGAAAAATCAAAATCACAGTGGCTTAGCAAGGTAGAAGTTTCTTTCTTCACATAAAAGTGCCCTGGAGGCAGATGGGTCAGTGGAATAGAAACCCCATGACCATCAGGAGACCAGGGTTCATCCATCTTTCTGACTCGACCTTGTTAGCATGCAACATTTACCCTCAAGGTCATGATCCAAGGTGGCAAGGGGTGTTCTAGCTGTCATGTCTGTGAAGAACGAAGAGAGAAAGGGCTTAAAAAAAAAAGATTCTCCTCTTAGATAATTCAACTTCCTGTAAGAGGCATTGCTAGAATGCCTGCATAATGCTCCCACTTAGAGATCCTTGGCCAGGATTGAGTTGCAAGTGGTGTCAGCCAGTGCAGGGAAGACTGGGAAGTGCTGTATTTAGGCAAGCACATTGCAAGCTCAGAAATGACAGCTCTATGAAGGAATCCTGGGAGCTGGATTCGGGACAGCAGCTCTCCTGCTCTGCCTGTGAGTTCCAGCCTCCAGAACAGCATGTGGGGCTGCCACTCACTGGGGGAGGCCAGCATGGCCGTCTCATTTAGTGACTCACAGTACAGTGTCACCCAGGCCCTCAAAAGCAAGCAGTGCAGTGATGGAGACAGACAGTGGCAGTGCCACTTGGCTCAGTTAGGGGGCCCAAGGATGCTGATGCAGGCAGGAGATGGGGGGTGACCCTCTGAGTCTTCTGTCCTCTGATCTTTCCTCATGTTTCCTAATTTCAACCCACAGAACCCCTGCTTTGCTTTGATTTTTTTCCAACTGATGTCCTAATGACACCTGGCGAAGTTGAGAATTCAAGTGATGTCATAATTTGGGAACACTTGAACCAAAATTGGAATTTCGTTGCCAGCTTTTGTAACCCTGAGGCTAGGAGAGATAAGTAATTATTTTAGTATAGTCTTACTAAAGTCCCTGGCTCTCAGTCTTTGTTTTCAGAGTAGAATTTGGTTTTTTGAGTTTGTTCTTCTCTAGAATTATAGGGAGAATTACACCAATCTATCATCACCAATACCTTTTCTCAATTATGGATAAATTAAATAGATGAGAAATCAGCAAAGATAAAGATTTGGATAACAGAATTAGCAGGCTTGACATAAGGGGCCTATAAGAATTCTACAACCAATAATTACAGAATATTCTTCTCAATAATTGTGGAACATTTTCAAAAGTTGACAAACTGGACCATAAAGGAAATCTCAACAAATTTGAGAGAGTAGGACTCAGGCCATGACCTTGCTCTGCAAAATCTAAACTAGAAGACAGTAATAAGATTAATGAAAACATTATCACGTATTTAGAACATTAAAAAAAAAAAACTCCTCTTAGATAATTTAGTTTCCTATAAGAGGCATTCCTAGAATTCCTACATAATACTTAAAAGAATGGGTCAAAGAAAATTCATACTGACAACTAAAAAAATAAATAGAACTCAATGATAATGAAAATATTACATATTAACATTTTTGGAGTGTAGCAAAAATTAGTGTGTTAGGTAAATTTATCCTTTTAGATGATAATATTGCAGAAGAAGAGAGGCTGAAAATTAACTAGCTTAAGAAGTTAGCAGAAGAATAACAGAAGAAACCCAAAGAAACTAGGAAGACTGTGATTAGAAAGAGCAGAAATCAATGAAATGACAGAAAACAAAGAAAGAATATGAAGCAATTTGTGATTTAATAATCATTCACAATAAAATCTCACAGTAAACCTTTAGAATATACCCTTCAGTGCAAGGAAGGCTGTTTTAGGCAAGATGTAAGTTGCATTAATCATAACAAGTAATAAATCCAACTATGTGGCAATAAGAGATTTAAAAGACTAATGTTACTGAAAGCTGGGCACTTGTCCTTGAAGCCACATCAGAAGAACAAGAACAAGTGGTTTGAGGAGAAGAAAAGAGAAGTTTATTACTTTGCCTACAAAGGAGGAAAATGGTAGACTATTGGCTCAAAGTCCAGATTCCTGTACATAAGCAGAAATACAGAACTTTTAAAGGTAGGACCCTCAATTCTGGGCTATTGTCATTTAACTACAGCTAACAGTTCCAATGTCCCATCACTGCCTGAAGATAAAGCCTGTGACCACCACCCACCTGGCAGGTCCACCTGGGATGGAGCTGCCAGTTGAGCTGAGCTATTTTCTGTAACACAAAGAACAAAAGACAATGAACCACCTGCCTGAGGCAGGGATGCAGGTCTTAGTTCCCAAAAAGAGTGGGGGAAGTTTTAAAAAGACAGAAAACATCTTTTTCTATTTTTTTTGGTAGGCCATTCCCTCTATTCCACTAAGACAAGCTAAAAACTGGAAGAAGTAATTTGCAAATTATATAACTGAGAAAATTAGAATTTTAAATTATGTAGAGAATAACAAATAAGAAAAATATAAACAGCTCAGTAGAAAAATGGATAAAAGGTATGAGGAGACAATTCATGGAGGAGGAGACATGATTAGCAAACACGAAAGGATGTTCTCCCTCACTGGCACTAATGCAGTGCAGGTGAGGGAACACCATACACCCACTGTTTGGCAAAATTAAGCAGCCTGACAATACCCAGGTTTTGGAGGGGACATGGGACAATGGATCTCTTTTACATTGTGGGTGAACATAAATGAGCACAAGGACTTCGGAAAGTAATTTTATTACCTTGTAAAGAGGAATATTTATATGCCCTGTGGTTCTGCAATTCCACCCATGGTGGTGTACGTGAGATAAATTCGAGCACGTGTGTAGCAGAAGACAGTACGAGAAAGTTCAAAGCAACACTGTTTACTATTGTGAAAGATTAAAGTTATCTAATGCCCATCACTGTAAGAATATATAAATTAAATGTGATCTTCATATCGAAGTGAAAAAGCCTGAACAATAGCTTTATTCAACAATAGGTATGGATCTTAGACACATAAAATTGAGTGAGGAAAAAAACGAATTGCAGAAGACAAGCATCAGTATGGTTTCTCCCGCCCCCACCTTTGGATCAAAAGCAAGTAAAACTAAATGGTATATTTTTAGGCATACACATATGGGATAAAACAAAAGAGAGAGAATGTGAATCATGTCATTTTTAGGATATAGTGGTTACCTCTGAGTGGGAAACAGGAGGCTAGGGTAGATGGAATCGCAGGCACACAGTTTTCCTGAGATCTGGTTCTGGGGTTGGATGGTGGGTTTGTAGGTGTTTATTGTATTGAAATATATAACAGAAAAGAACCCAGCACAGACCAACAATGATGCTGTGAAATGAACTAAGTTCTATGATGAGTCTGATCCAGGGTCCGTGATGTGTTTTAAAAACAAAAACAAAACTTAATCCCAACAAGTCTGTTTCACTCCTTAATCAATTTTCTATACTGCACGACTAAATGATTTCCAGTGTTGACTCTTTATCATTATCGATTTTATCTTACAGAAACTATCTCCATAGAGATTTGTCATTTAGGATAGATATTTGATTCACTGATCAGTATTTGACCATATCAAACTGTACAATTTTAGCTTTTAATACAGTTTTCTTTTTTCTTTTAGATTTTTATCATAAAAAAGTTAAACATATGAAATTAGAAAGCCATAAAGGATTCCCGTGGACCCTCCTCAGCTTTGACACTTAGTCAATTCATGTCTCATCTACCCCTTTACCTGCTTTCTCCTCTCCCCCAGATCCTTGAAGCAAATCCCAGGCATGACATCATTTCATTTGTAAATATTTCAATAGGCATCTCTAAAAAAATCAGGATGCACTTTTAAAACCATCAAGTATTACCATTGTTATATCAACATAAATTATTTCTTAATGTTCTAAAATATCCCGTCAGTGTTCGTGTTTCCCCTATTATTACCATCCCCTACCCTCCAGTTTGTTTAAATCCAGGTCCAAATAAAGCCCATTCACTCTGATTGGCTTATACGCCTTTGTGAGTTTCCTTTAAGTTTTCCCAGGACAGATTTTGAAATTCCAAGGTTTCCTAAGATTATTGCATGAAATGACGGCTTTTCGAATATGCCCCTATTTTAAAAGCCTGGGAAAGAAAGCAGTTTCCCTCCTACCTCATCTACCGGTTTCGAATGCCCACAGGTGGCCGCAGAGACCCGAGCGGTCATAGGGTGGATGGAGAAAATCCCCTTCGTGCTGGGCGGCAACCTGCAGGGGGGCGAGCTGGTGGTGGCCTACCCCTACGACATGGTGCGGTCCCCGTGGAAGACCCAGGAGCACACGCCCACGCCCGACGACCACGTGTTCCGCTGGCTGGCCTACTCCTACGCCTCCACGCACCGCCTCATGACGGACGCCCGGCGCAGGGTGTGCCACACCGAGGACTTCCAGAAGGAGGACGGCACCGTCAACGGGGCGTCCTGGCACACCGTCGCGGGAAGTAAGCCTCGCCGCACCTGGGGGGCGTCACAGGCCCAGCGACAGCGGGCTGCTGGCACTGGAGGGCCCGGAGGGTGTCTCCTCCCGGCCCTGCGGCGTCACTGTAGCCCGTGGCGTCATCGCTAAAGGGCAGATGCCGTAGTAGAGAGCACTTGCGCGGTGCTGGCCTTTGACTAAGGGTCACAGGAGCCGCCTGTGGTCGTTGCCGCCGGGTGTGGAGGGGTGTGCCCTCCTCCCGGGTCATCAGTGACACGCTGGAGCTCGCTCCAGAGGGATCTGCCCACGTGAGAAGGGAGCAGCGCTGGCGTCTGTGTCACGGTGGCCTGCTCTTAGCCGCCGCGCTGTTCAGATGTTACCGGGCTAGGGGTGGGAGCAGTTGGGCTTGGTGGCAATATCGGACCAACCCAAACAATCAGAGAGCCCGGGGAGGGGCAGAGAGCGTGCGGTGCTGGCGTAGAAGCCAGGGCTTCCCGCCAGAGCCCTTCTTATTCTGGGGGGCGTCCCGAGCTGTAAACCCGCAGCGGGGGTGGGCATGGATCCCGAGCGCACGGGTGAAGTGACTCCGAGCTTCAGGGGTGTTCTGAGCCCCAACTTCAGGGGTGTTTTAAGCCCCAACAGGTGGTGAAGACCGTTTTGTGCATATCCACCACCCACTGGCGGTCAGCGTGCCGGGCCCCCTACCCCACCCACAGCGCCAGCAGTGTGGGCAACGGGAGGTGTTGCTCCTGGCATCCACAAGGGACTGCAGGGGCTTCTAGTAGAGACTTCCGGAATCCCCTCGCAGCAGCCAGAGGACCCCGTGGTCTGCACGTCAGGACTGTTCCCAGACCGGGTTCCTAAACCAGGAGGGCTGAGGGGGTCCTATTCCCTGCGGTCCCCCTGCATTGGATTGCAAGACCCCAGGCACAATGCTCATTGCTTATTTTCTTCACTTTGTGAGGGTCCATCAAGCCCATGATGAATTTGAAATACATTCAATGTCACATAGACGGGGGTTTAAATCCCACTCTATCATTTGGTTGCTCTGTGACTCTGGGAAAGTTGCTTTACTTCTCTAAACCTTCGTACTTTCCATTTGTAAAATGGGCATGATGATGATGATGGTCTTTATGGTAACATGGCCCTCTGGGGTGCTGTGAGGGTCACATCAGGGCAGGGTGTGGCTGTGCCCTGCGTCTGGCTTACCAGAAAGGCTCGGTCATGACAAGTTCCCGCCCCCTGCAACTCCTTCCTCAGTAGCACGCTCGCCGCGAAGCCCGTGTTATGAGCATATTCCTACTCTCTGTTTCGCCACACTAGTTAATTAGCTTTGATGCTATTTTATTTTGCTACTTTTCAAGTATGTTTCCACCCTTGGGAAAAGAAAAAAAAAGTAGGAATCCTCGTGCCTGGGACCAGGTGAGAATATGCGCAAGCTTGCGGCTACAGAGCAAGCAGAGGCATTTTACCTGTCTCCATCGGCTACAGAGCAAGCAGAGGCATTTTACCTGTCTCCATCGTGGCTTTACCTTCCATAAAATAAAAAAATAAATGCAAATCTCTATCAGGAGAATTTCCTGTTGGCAAAAAGGATTCTTGTTTCTCAATTTTCGCCCTGGAAACCTCCCTACAAAACTCTGTAAGTGCAACGTCTGTTTGTTTTTCCTGGCTGCGGTGACTGAGTGGCGTCCGGACACAGCCGGGTCCCAGTGTCGGGTCTGCAGTGTCGGGTCCCAGTGTCAGGTCCGCAGTGTCGGGTCCCAGTGTCGGGTCCGCAGTGCGGTTCTGAGAAGTGGCTGCTGCGTAACCACCTTGACGGTGTTCGACTCTTTTCCTATCAGTTACATTTTCCATTATTTCAGGGACTTTGTGGCAGAGCCGTGTGGTGGCTCGAGCCTTTTTAATCATTCTTCTTCCTGGCAGTGTGATGCAGTCTGCAGATTCACGTCTTTGTAGATCAATGAAATGGGATTTCTCATTTCCTTCCCTCCCCCGGCAGCTCCATCTTTCCTCGAGGTTCTTTCCCACGCGTGCATGGCGTGCACGGCGCACGGCCGGGCGCCCCGCGGTGGGGAGCGGGCCAGCGGGGAGCAGGGTCGCAGATTCCAAATGCACATCATTCGCGGTGTGTGCACTCTCGTTCCGGAGGGACGTGGTCCTCCCTGTCCCTCACTGCCGTCCCCACCCTCCCCTGCACGGACAAGGTGGGCATGTGGCAGTGTCAGGGGCACAGGGCTGTGGGGACTCCGCTCTGCGCTCCACATTGAAGCGGTGACAGGAGGAGGAGTCCCGTCAGAGAGAGAACACAAGGGAGCATCTCACCGTCCCCAGCTGGGACCAAAGGCTCGTAAAGAGCCGTCTGGGGACGTCACAGCTCCTCGTCCACGTGCCTCAGACAGGAAGTGGCATTTGACTTTCGAAGCCATTCCCCGGCCAAGGCACCACTCTCTGGACACACAGCCCACACTTCCCCACAGCCCTGCTGGTTCCTCGTCACGCTGCCCATTCTTCTAGAGCTTCTAGTGCTTTGAACACATACTGCAAAGTGGCAGGCCACTCCGGGATTTTCAAATATCACATTTATTTCAGCACTAGCAAGGCCTAGAAGGGTGGGAATAACGATGATCATATGTGCAGAGAAGAGTCCAGCCCTCCCAGGAAGTCAAACCTGTGCTCGCAGGTGGCTTTGTTGTCCTGCGACCTCCTCGTGCCCTCTGTAATGCCACACTGCAGAGGTGACTGGATGAGCTTCGACCAACATCCTTTAACCCAGCCGGGCCCGGTGCAGAGGATTTCCCACTACCCTGCCACCGCCCGGCCCTCTGCTGCCACCGTTCCTACTGTTCCTCATTCGCTCACGGGTGTGCTCTGAGGCCTGTTGTGTCACACGTGAGTGGTTCCCGTCTGGAATCTGGCAATGACTGGCCCTATCTTGGGTACCCTTTTGCCTCTGACTTCAGCAGACTGATGGAGTTGCTCTTGACACCCCAAAGCCGTGGTTTTGAAACAGACGTTTTGACGGAGCATTGCAGGAGTGGGCCCTACAGTGAGCTCAGTGAGAAGGGAGGAAGAAAGGGTGTCCGAGAGCGTGGCCAGTGGGCACTCAGCAGCCCCTCTTGTTCCCTTGGTCCCTGCGGAGCCCAGCCCACCCAACTCCGATTTCTGTGAGCCTGACCCTAAGCACCCAGGGAGGGCCGGTTAGAGGAGCCCCCAGACACTCACGCAGAACATAGCTTGCTAATAATCATCCTGTTCAAGAACAACAATGCTGGGAAGAAAGCCACCAGAGCTTCATGCCGTCTAACATTCCTCTGTGCACCTCACAGACACTGGGCAGTGCAGCGGGTGGAGTGGTGGCCCCCAAAAGCATGTCAGCTTTCTAAAACCCGATCCTGCGGATGTTACCTCATTTGGAGAATGGGTCTTTTCAGGGGTGGTTATGTCAAGGGTCTCCAGATGGGGTTATCCTGGGAAACCTGGACGGGCCCTAAAATGAGTGGGCAGTGTCCTTACAAGGGACAGAAGAAGAGAAGACACGGAAGCACAGGAGAAAACCGTGAGAAGATGGCAGAGATCTGAGCGATGCAGCCACAAGGCAAGGAACGCCCGGGGCCACTCACGGCTGGAAGGGGCGAGGAAGGAGTCTCCCCTGCAGGCACCTTGATCTCAGACTTCTGGTCTCCGGAACTGAGAGAGAATAAGTTTCTGTTGTTTTAAGCCACCCAGTTTGCGGTCATTTGTAACGGCAGCCCTGGGAGACAAGTACAGAGACCAACCACGCATCAGGCTGGGTGCCGCCTGTGTCGCGTGGCCCCGTCGGCTGCAGACTGGGCTTCCTGGGTGAGTGGGTTTTGCCCTGCCATCCCCAGCCAGCAGTGCTCTGCGTGGGGACAAGAGCAGGGACTTGCTGTGACACAGACCGGGCTCCAGCCCCAAGCCCAGCCCTCTCCAGACACGTGATCTTGGACACGATCTCCCCATTCTCAATCTCAGTTTTCTTATTTGTGAGATTGGGCCATGCCATCGACTTCTGCCGGGTCTGGGGTGAGGGTTAAGTAGCCTAGTGGATACAGATGCTCTGGACAGAGCTGGCTTATGTGAGGCACTCACCCAGCCGTGGTAGGGATAGCCGTTTTAATCAATCAGGATAAAAACCTGTTACAGCGCTATAGCGGAGACAGCATAACTATAGAGATCAATTTAATCAAACACTTAAGATCTATAGTGGCAATTAATGGTATTGTTACTCTCAAAATGGTGTGTTAAACTGAGTTCAATAAAATATTTTATCCAAAAAGCACTTATTTGAGTCCTTCTTTTGTCAAAGACATCTTTGCACATGTCTATCCTCACCATAAACCGTTCTAGCTGCATCCTCTCTCCCCAGTCTCTCCAACCTACACACCTGTGCTCGAATGCAAATTTTTATCTATAGTAGATACTTGTCACCTCGCTGTCCAGTGATGTCTTTGGAATGTTTTTAAATGTTCTTGCTGCCCCCCACCCCCCGCCCCGCCCAGTGCCACATTGAGCGCTGCTCCATTAAAATGCTGTCCCGTTGTTGGCTTGGCAGGTCTGAACGATTTCAGCTACCTTCACACAAACTGCTTCGAGCTGTCCATCTATGTGGGCTGTGACAAATACCCCCATGAGAGCCAGCTGCCCGAGGAGTGGGAGAACAACCGGGAATCTTTGATCGTGTTCATGGAGCAGGTATGGCGTTGGCACATGGCCGTGCTGAGGGAGACTAGCTAAGAACGCGGCCCAGGAGGTGGCTGAAGGCGTAGGATGGAGTCAGCACTGTGGACTGTGGCCACCTGGGGCCACAGCGTTGCAAGGAGCCGGTGTCTGCTTGCACTTGCTCGGGCCCCAAGGAAGCGAGCTCTAAACCCACGGCGACCGCTGCCACTGGCTCAGAGTGGGTGGCAGCAGTCTAGGGGCTCTCGTGCTGCTCTGTGGGGAGCTGGCCATCCATGTTTGAGTCTACACGAATAGGCCCCTTGTCTTAGCCTGGTTGGGTTGCTGTCACAAAATACCACAGACTGGGTGGCTTAAATAGCAGACATTTATTCTCTCACCGTTCTGGAGGCTGGGAGTCCAAGATGAAGGTGCTGGTGGAGTTGGTGTCCTCTGAGCCTTCTCTCCTAGCTTGCAGGTGGCTGCCTTTGTGCTGTGTCTTTACCTGCTCCTCCCTTAGGCATCCTTCCTCTCTGTGTGTGTGTCCAAGTGTCCTCTTCTTATAAGGACACCTGCCATATTGGATTAAGACCTACCCTAACAGTCTCATTTAACTTGATTACCTCTTTAAAGGCCCTGTCTCCAAATACAGTCGTATTCTGAGATTTGGTGGTTAAGGCTTCAACATAGGAATTTGGGGGGACACAATTCAGCCCAGACACCCCATGCCAGACCTTCAGAGTCACTGTTGCAGGTGGCAGAAGTGAGTTACCTGGGAGCAGGTGTAACAAGTACCTACTGAAGTTCTGCTGTCCAGCTGGGGAGGGACCCTGCTGTCTTCATTAGGGACCTCGGACACCTTCCCTGCCCCATGCTCCCAAGGACACGCCCATCTTGTGGCATTAATGAGTTAACCAGTTCTAGTTTCGTGTTATAACTAACCTAGCCCCACTGAGAAACAGACTAACTGGAAACCAAAGGAATAAACAAAAACAAATGGTGAGCATCAGGGCTCCTGACATTTGTAAGTAACAGACATATGGCTCCCCCTTCTCCGCCATTTGTTAGGAAGCGAGATCTGAGGCCACTCAGAGGTTGCCCTTCTTGCAAGGGTTGTCGGAGATGAGTCAGAAGACGCACTCAGCTCAGGGATTGGGTTGCCAGCTTCCGGTTCCCTGTGGCTGCTCCCCTGCACAGGTGGCAGAGTTTGGCACCAGGATGGAGCCTCAGAGTCCCCCCCAGCCCCCGGAGGTTCCAGGAGGCTTGGTGCAGCCCCCATGAGCTTCCCTGGCACAGGAGGGGGTGGGCCTCTTCTTCTCTTTTAGGGAAATGTCTCACTCAAGGGGCTTCTGTCCCCACCCTGGAATTTCATGAGGGAAAGCTCTTTTTCTTTTGCATATACATAAAGAGAGAAGGCCTTGACTATAGCAACTTGATCATTCTTAAGTAATGATGCAATTTACCCAAAATGCCTCCTATGGGTAAAATGCCCAGGCACAGTAATATGTGTAAAGAAGGCCTCTGGAAATGATGGTAGGTCACCTTGGATTGTCACATCATTCTACCAATAGGGAAACTGAGGCACCGGGTTCAGAGTTGATGTCTGTGCTGTAACACAGCTAATCACTGGGAGAGGCCCACACAGAGTTGTCATTTGCAAGAAGGTCTCTTTGATTCTTTTCTTTCCTCTCTGACTGTTAAATCATTAAGTCCCTGTAGTCCAGGAAAGTCAAAATAAATGTGCTTATAAAAATTAAATTCCAGTTTTTAGTGGGTATATTTCTATGAACCATCTCAAATACTAATATTTTTTAAGCCTTTGGAATATTTTAGTTCTAATGGAAGATTTCCAGTGCACGGCGGGCCCACAGGGAGTGCAGGAGTTCACGCAGCAAATGCACCCACGGCCCGGCGAGCCTTTTGAGCGAGACGTGGCACTGTGAATTCCTGGCGGGGAGGGGCCGACCTTAGGTTTACAGCCCAGTCCACTGTGCTGGCTGTGTCCAGGGCTGGTTGGTGGCCTCACCCTGTGTCTCATCCTGTTTCCTGAGCAGATTCATCGCGGCATCAAAGGTGTGGTGAGAGACTTACACGGAAAAGGAATTCCAAATGCCGTTATCTCCGTAGAAGGCGTTAACCATGACATCCGAACAGGTAACTGCAAATGCATGCAAACTATTTCTTGGTAGGAAATACCCATTCTCCTGAAGTGTTCCACTAGAGTTACAGTCACGAATTGAATGCCAGGAACTGCCTACTCAGAGCTCCTTCCCCTGACTGTCCACTGTCCAAGAGGCCCCGAAAGCGAGGTCTGTACCCTGTGCTCTCTGGCGCATCCCTGTCCCTCCTGCAGGACGGGCATGGGAGCAGCCGGCCACCGTCTAGGGTCCGTGGAAGTTCATGAGAAGTTGAGGAAGCAGCTCTTTCTCTGCGGGACTGTGACATCCGCGGGCAGCTTGGCTCCCAGATCGGGCGGGATGTGGCCCAGCAGTGAGCGCTGCAGGCCCAGGGCAGGACAGGCATGCTGCTCCCGACAGGCAGAAGCCGTAGGCTGGGCGGACGCAGCAGGGCTGGAGTGGGGAGTCCCGCGAGGACGGCAGCAGCCTACCCTGAGGCGTAGGAGAGATACGTAATTTTTATATAGTCTTACTAAAGTCCCGGCTCTCAGTCTTTGTTTTCAGATAGCATTTGGTTTTTGAGTTTGTTCTTCTCTAGAATATGGGAGATTACACAATCTTCATCACCAATACTTTTCAATTATGGTAAAATAAATAGATGAGAAATCAGAAAGATAGATTGGATAACGAATTAGCGAGGCTTGCATAAGGTGCCTCCTAAGAATTCAGTACACCATAATTACAGATATTTTCTCAATAATTGTGGAAGCATTTTCACAAAGGTTGACGAACTGGCCATAAAGGAATCTCAACAAATTTGAGTAGTAGGGATCGCCATGACCCTTGCTCTGAACTTAACTAGAGACAGTAATAAGATTAATGAAACATTATTACATATTTAGAACATTAAAAAAAAAAACTCCTTCTTAGTAATTTGTTCCTATAAGAGGCATTCCTAGAATCATAATAACACTTAAAGAATGGGTCAAGAAAATTCATACTGACAACTAAAAAAAATAATAGAAATCAATGAGTAATGAAATATACATATTCACATTTTTGGAGTGTAGCAAAATTAGTGTGTTAGGTAATTTATCTTTTGATGATGATATTTGCAGAAGAAGAGAGCTGAAAATTTAACTAGCTTAAGAAGTTAAGCGAAAATAAACAGAAGAACCCAAAGGAACACTGGAAGACTGTGATTGAAGAGCAGAATCATGAGATTTACGAACAAGAAGAATATGAGCAGCATTTGTGATTTACTAATCTTCACAATAAATCTCACAGTAACTTTAGAATTATACCCTTCGTGCAAGATGGTTAGGCAAGAATGTAGTTGCATTATCATACAGTATAATCCAACTATGTGGATAAGAATTTAAAACTAATGTACTGAACGCTGGGCATTGTCCTTGAGCACATCGAAGAACAAGAAAGTGGTTTGAGAGAAGAAAAGAGAAGTTTATACTTTGCCTACAAGGAGGAAAAATGTAGACTATTGGCTCAAAGTCCAGTTCCTGTACATAAGGAGAAATCAGATTTTAAAGGTAGGCCTCTTCTTGGATATTGTTATTTAACTTATCTACAGTTCTAATGTCCATCCTGCCTGAAGATAAAGCCTGTTACCACACCCACTGGCAGGTCACCTGGGATGGAGCGCCATTGAGCTGATATTTTCTTAACACAAGAACAAAGACACTGACCCCTGCTGAGGCAGGATGCAGGTCTTAGTTCCAACAGACGTGGGGGAATTTTAAAAAGCAGAAAACATCTTTTTTTTCTTATTTTTTTGTAGGCATTCCTCATTCCACTAGACAAGCTAAAAACTGGGAAGAAAGTAATTTGTCAATTATATAACTGGAGAAAATTAGAATTTAATTATGTAGGGAATAAAATAAGAAAATATAAACAGTCAGTAAGAAATGGATAAAAGGTATGGGAGCATTCATGAGGGAGGGAGACATGATTAGCAACACGAAAGATGTCTCCCTCACTGGCCTAATGCAGTGCAGGTGACGGAACACCTACACCCTGTTTGGCAAATTAAGCAGCCTGACAATACCCAGGTTTGAGAGGGACATGGGGACAATGAGTTCTTTATACATTGTGGGTGAAAAAATGAAGCACAAGGATCGGATAAGTTTATTAAACCTTGTAAGACGGGAATATTTATATGCCGTCGGTTTGCAATTTCCACCCATGTGGGGTAGTGAGATAATTCGAGAGTGGTAGAGAAGACAGTACGAGGAAATCAAAGACACACATGTATTGTAAAGTTAAAGTTATCTATGCCATACTGTAAGAATATATATTAATTGATCATTCATATCGAAGTGAAAGCCTGAACATAGCTTTATTCGCAAGTAGGTATGATCTTAGAACATAAATTAGGAGTGAGGAAAAACGAATTCAGAAGACAAGCATCGTATGGTTTCTCCCGGCCCACTTTGGATCAAAAGCAAGTAAAACTAAATGGTATATTTTTAGGCATACACATATGGTAAAACAAAAAGAGAGAGAATGTGATCATGTCATTTTTAGGATATAGTGTTACTCTGAGTGGGAAACAGGAGGCTGGTGTTGATGGAATCGGAGGCACACAGGTTTCTGGTCTGGTTCTGGGTTGGGATGGTGGGTTTGTAGGTGTTATATTGTATTGATATAACAGAATGAACCAGCACAGACACCAATGATGCTTGTGAAATGAACTAAAGTTCTATGGATGAGTCTGTCCAGGTCGTGATTGTTTTTAAACAAAACAAACTTTAATCCAACAAGTCTGTTGTCCTCCTTAATCATTTTTATACTGCAGCTAAATGATTTCATGTGCTCTGTTATCATTATCGATTTTATCTATTACGAACTTCTCCATATGAGATTTGCTTTAGGATAGATATTTGATTCATGATTCGTTTGACCATATCACATGTAATTTGCTTTTAATACATTTCTTTTCTTTAGATTTTTACTCTAAAAAAGTTACATATGATTAGAAGCTAAAGGGATTCCCGTGGACTCCTCAGCTTTGAACAATTTCAGTCAGATTCATGTCTATCTACCCTTTACCTGCTTTTCCTCTCCCAGTCTTGAGCAAATCCCAGGCATGACATATTTCATTTGTAAATATTTAATAGGTATCTCTAAAAATCAGGGATGCCTTTTAAACTCAATTACCGATTGTATATCAATAATTATTCTTATGTTCTAAAGTATATCCCGTCAGTGTTGTGTTTCCTATTTTACCTCCTACCTCCAGTTGTTTAATCCAGTCAATAAGCCATTCACTTGATGCATTATACGCCTTTGTGGGGTTTCCTTTAAGTTTCAGGAACAGATTTTGGAATCCAAGGTTTCCTAAGATTATTGCTGAAATGACGGCTTTTCGAATATGCCTTTTTAAAGCGCTGGGAAGAAAGCAGTTTCCTCCTACCTCATCTACCGGTTTCGATGCCCAAGGTGCCGCAGAGACCACGAGCGTCATAGGGTGATGGGAGAAATCCCTCGTGCTGGGCGGCACCTGCAGGGGCGAGTGGTGGGGCCTACCCCTACGAATGGGCGTCCCGTGGAGACCAGGAGCACACGCCACGCCGAGACCATGTATCCGTGGCTGCTACTCCTACGCCTCCACGCACGCCTCATTAGGAGCCGGCGCAGAGTTGTGCCACACCGAGGCTTCAGAAGGAGGCACGGCACCGTCAAACGGGGCGGGCGCCTGGACACGGTCGGGGAGTAAGCTCGCCGCGCCTGCGGGGGCGTCCAGGCCAGCGACAGCGGGCTGCTGGCACTGGAGTCCGGCGGGCGTCTCCTCCCGGCCCTGCGGCTCACTGTGCCCCCGGCGTTCATTGCTGAAGGGGTGCCGTCAGTAGGGCATTGCGCGGTGCTGGCCTTTGACCTAAGGGTCGCAGGAGCCGCCTGGTGGCGTTGCCGAGGTGTGGAGGGCGTCCTCTCCCGGGTTTCATCAGTGACACGCTGGAGCTCGCTCCAGAGGGTCTGCCCACGTGAGAAGGGTAGCAGCGCTGGCGTCTGTCGGTGGCCTGTATAGCCGCCGCGGCTGTTCAATGTTACGGTTAGGGGTGGGGCAGTTGGGCTTGGGTGCGCTTTGGACCACCAACAATCAGATCCGGGAGGGGCAGAGAGGTGGCGGTTGTGGGTGAGCCAGGGGACTCCGCAGAGTTCTTTTCTGGGGTGTCCCAAGGTAACGCAGCGGGGGTGGGCACTGGATCGGGCACGGGTGAAGTGACTCCGGCTTCAGGCGTGTTCTGAGGCCCACTTCAGGGGTGTTTTAAGCCCAAAGGTGGTGAAGCCGTTTTGTCATATCCAACCCCACTGCGTGGTCAGCGTGCCGGGCCCCTTCCCACCACAGGCGCCCAGCGTGTGGGCACGGAGTTTGTCTGCATCACAAGGGACTGCAGGGTTTAGTAGAGACTTCCGGAATTCCCCTCGCAGCAGCCAGGGACCCGTGGTCTGCACTTCAGGACTGGTTCCCAACCGGCTACCAGGAGGTGAGGGGGTCCTATTCCTGAAGGTCCCTCTGAATTGGATTGCAAACCCCCAGGCCACAATGGTCTGCTTCTTTTCTTCAATTTGTGGAGGGTCCATCAGCCTGATGAATTGAAATACTTCATGTCAATTAGACGGGGTTTAAATCCACTCTATCATTGGTTTGCTCTGTTGATTGGGAAAGTTGGCTTTACTTCTGAACTTCGTACTTTATTTGTAAAATGGGCATGAATGATGATGATGTGTTTGTGGTACATGGCCCTTGGTGCTTGTAAGGGCACATCAGGCAGGTGTGGCTGTGCTGCGCTGGCTTCCAGAAAGGCCGTTCATTGACAAGTTCCGCCTCTTGCAACTCTCTTTTCAGTAGCACGCTACCCGCGACGCCGTGTTATGAGCATATCTATCTCTGTTTTCGCCACAAACTAGTGTAATTAGCTTTGATGCTATTTTTTGTACTTTTCAGTATGTTTCCACCTTGGGGAAAGAAAAAAAAGTGGAATCCTCGGCCTGGGACCATTGTGAGACTATGTGCAAGCTTTGCGTTTTCACGGCTACAGAGCAAGCAGGAGGCTTTTCCTGTCTCCATCGTGGCTTTGCTTCCAACATAAAAAATATGCAAATCTATCAGAGAATTTCCTGTTGTCAAAAGATTCTTGTTTCTCATTTCGCCCTGTAACCGCCCTAAAAACTCTGTAAGTGCAAACGCCTGTTGTTTTCCTGGCTGGTGAGTGAGTGGGCGTCCGGACACGCTGGTCCAGTGTCGGGTCCCAGGTGTCGGGGTCCGCAGTGGCGGTTCTGAGAAGTGGCTGTGCGTACCACTTGACGGTGTTCGGATCTTTTCCTATCAGTACATTTCCGTTATCTCAGGGACTTCTGTGGCAGAGGCGTTGGTGGCTCGAGCTTTTTATCATCTTCTTCTGGCAGTGTGGTGCAGTCTGCAGATTTCACGTCTTTGTGATCAATGAAATGGATTCCATTCCTTTCATCCCCGGCAGGGTCCATCTTTCCTCGAGGTTCTTTCCAGCGTGCATGGCGTGCACGGCGCTACGGGCGGGCGGCCCGCCGTGGGGAGCGGGCCAGCGGGGAGCAGGGTCGCGGATTCCAAAGCCATCATTGCAGTGTGTGCACTCTCGTTCGGAGGATGGTCCTCCCTGCCCTCAACTGCGTCCCACCCTCCCCTGCACGCGCAAGGTGGGGTGTGGCAGTGCAGTGGCACAGGGCTGTGGGGATCCGCTCTGCGGTCCACTTGAAGCGGTGACAGGAGGAGGGTCCGTCGAGAGAGAACACAAGGGAGATCTCACCGTCCCAGCTGCCAACTTCGGTAAAAGCCGATCGGGACGTCAGCTCCTCTCCACGTGCTAGACAGGAGTGATTGGTTTCGAGCAATTCCCCGGCCAGGCACACTCTCTGGACACACAGCCACCCTTCCACAGCGTGGTTCCTCGTCACGCTGCCCGTTCTTAGAGCTTTAGGCTTTGAAACAACTACTGCAAAGTGGCAGTCCGGCTCCGGGTTCAAATATCACATTTATTTCAGTACTAGCAAGCTGAAGGGTGGGCAATAACTGCATTGTATGGCGAGAGGAGTCAGCACCCAGGAGTCAACTTGCTCGCAGGTGCTTTGTTGTCCTGCGACCGCTCCTCGTGCCCTCTTGTAATGCCACACTGCAGAGGTGACTGGTGAGCTTCGACAACCCTTATAACCATCTGGCCGGTGCAGATTTCCCACTACCCTCACCGCCCGGCCTTCTGCTGCCACTGTTCCTACTTTCCTCGTCTCGCTCAACGGGTGGCTCTGAGGCCTATTGTGTCCAACGTGAGGGTTCCCGTCTGGAATCTGGCAATGACTGGCCTATCTTGGGTACCTTTTGCTCTGACTTCGCAGGACTGATGGAGTTGCTCCTGACCAAGCGTGGTTTGTTTTTCTTTTTTTTTTTCATTTCTTTTTTCCTAATGACAGGAGTATCAGAAAAGCCGTTGGTTTGAACAGGGGGGACGTTTTGACAGAGAATTGCAGGAGGGGCCACAGTGAGCACGTGAGAAGTAGGGAAGAAGGGTGTCTGGAGAGGTGGCCAGTGCACTAGCAGGCCCTCTTGTCCTATCTCACTGCGGAGCCGCCACCAACTTCCGATTCTGTGACCTGACCCTCAGCGCCAGGGAGGCCGGTTAGGGAGCCCCAGACACTCACGCAGAATGCTTTGCATTAATAACTCTGTTCAAGAACAAAATTGCTGGAGAAAGCCACAGAGCTCTCCGCGCTAAATCCTATGTGCACCTCACAGGCTGGGCAGTGCGCGGTGAGTGGTGGCCCCAAAGATGTCAGCTTTCTAAAACCGACCTGCGATGTTACTTCATTTGGAGGAATGGGTCTTCAAGGGGTGTTATGTCAAGGGTCTCCAGATGGGTGTATCCTGGGAACCTGGACGGCCCTAAATGAACGTGGGCTATGTTACAGGGACAGAAGAAGAGAGCCGGAAGCACAGGAGAAAACCGTGAGAGATAGGCAGAGATCTGAGCGTGCAGCCCAAGCAGAAGCCGGGCACACGGCTGGAAGGGGCGAGGAAGGAGTCTCCCTGCGGCCCTTGTCTGACTTTGTCTCCGGAACTGGACGGAATAGTTCTTGTTTTCAGCCACCCGTTTGCGGCCATTTAGCGCCTTGGAAGACAGGTACAGAGACCCACGCATCAGGCTGGTGCGCTGGATGTGCGTGCACGGTCGGCTGCAGATGGGCTTCCTGGTGAGTGGCTGTCCTGCGGTCCCAGCAGCAGTGCTTCTCGGCAAGAGAGACTTGCTGTGAAGACCGGCTCAGCCCCAAGCCCAGCCCTTCGCAACGTATCTTGACACGATCTTCCATTCTCAATTCAGTTTTCTTATTGTGAAATCTGGCATGCACGACCTCTGCGGGTCTGGCGGAGGTTTAGTGGCCAGCGATACAGTGCTTGGACAGAAGCTGGCTTAGTGTGAGGCACTCCCAGCCGTGGTAGGGATAGCGGTTGTTAATGCATCAGGATACAAACCTGTTACAGCCTATAGCGGAGACGCACGTTAATATAGGATCATTTAATCAAACTTAAGATCTATGTGGCAATTAATGGTATGTTACTCTCAAAATGGTGTGTTCTGGTTCAATAAAATTTTTATCCAACAAGCCTTATTGAGTCTTTTTGTCAAAGCTCTTTGGCATGTCTGTGCCACATAAACGTTTAGCTGATCCCTCTCCAGTCTCTCCAACTACACACTGTGCTCGATGCTATTTTGTTCTATGGTAGCATACTTGTTCCTCGATGTTTGTGATGCTTTGGAATGTTTTAAATGTTCTTGCTGCTCCACCCGCCCGCAGGTGCCACGCTGACGCGCTCTCTCATTAAATGCCTGTCGTTGTTGTGGCATTGGGCAGGTGCTGAACGTTTGGCTACCTTACACAAACTGCTTTGAGTGTCCCTACTGTGGGGCTGTGACAAATCCCGCATGAGAGCAGCTGCCCGAGAGTGGAGACAACGTGAATCTTTGATGTGTTCATGGAGCGGTATGGCGTTGGCACATGTCGTGCTGAGGGACTAGCTAGACTCGGCCAGGAGGTGGCTGAAGGTATGTCGCCACACACACAATGATTAGTGTACAGTAGGAAACTATGTTGCCTGAGCACTTGATCATGGTGATAACCATGGTTATTGCCTCTAATGCTCTCATCAGTCCTCTGAGGAGAGTTGTTTCTGTTGTTCCGATACATTATTTATGTCTCTTGTTCGAGTTATGATATGGAATTTGTATAGATGTAAATATGCATAGAGTATACATATATATTAATAGACTTATGTATATAGAGAATATAGAACATAGTTAGTATTGTGTTGTGTTGTGTGTCTAGACAGTATCTGGGAATGAAATGGAAAACTGTATTTAAAATGATGGCGCCTACCAAGTGCAAGCTTTATGATACAGAGCACAGACGTGCAGAACTTGGGCTGTGTTTATTGGTGCATACAGATGGTTAGGGATTTGCATAGTTAAATAGTGAGCCAGGCTCGTGGGCAAGGCAGGGAGGGTGCATTGCTGTGGTGGCTCTTGATCCTGCAATGATGAACTCTGAGGTTCAGCTGAACGGCGCGGAAGGGAGGAAGGCAGGGTGGAAGAAGGGACGATACTCTTTGAGCACTTCTATGTGGCAGGAGTGGCCTCTGCATTCCCTCCTTGGAGAGAGTGGCTGTGTCACCCGTCACCCACCGAATATTAATAGAAGGCTTTCCAACGTTCTCCATGGGATGCCATCCTTGGGTCAAAGGGCATCCAGAGATGCCCCAAGGGGAGGTGGACACGGGTGCATCTAGTACGGCAGAGAGTCAGGATTGCCCTGCAGCCTGTGGGCTCTTCACACTCCCATTTGTCCCCAGGGCTCGGAGCTGGGCGGCTGGTCCCTGGGACGCTGGACCCACGACGGGATAGACATCAACAACAACTTCCCTGACTTAAACACGCTGCTCTGGGAGGCAGAAGACCGACAGAACGGCCTGAGGAAAGCTCCCAATCACTACATTGCAATCCCTGAGTGGTTTCTGTCGGAAAATGCCACGGTGAGTAAAAATCCCCCTCATTGTAGAGCACGGAAGGCCAGGTGTAACCCCACTGGTATTTGCAGAGGATGTGACATTTAACAACAAGACAAAACCGTTTTTTCTTTCATGTTTTCTCTAAAAAAGCAGGGAAATGTGCTAGATAATAACTACCTTTTAAATTGATATTTGGGGAGATTCTTCTTAGAAGAGAAATCATTTAATTATATTTCTTAACGATCATACAAAGCTGCAAAACCAAAACAGCCTCCCCTGAAGTGTGCATGCTACCATTGCCATCCTCAACGCAGTCAGTTACACCACTGTGAAATTGTCCTCAGCCTTCACGGATTGCTTCAGATACTTTATTTTAGTGAGTCCCCATGGGATTACTATGTGTGGCGTTTCTTTGGAAAGAAAAGCGAAATTGGATGATAAATGTTTACCCCAAATTTCTCAGGTCTTGTTTCACAAAGAGTATGTTGTAGAAGAAATAATTCTTGCAGAATTTCCTGTGCCTTTTATTGCCTTCTCTGACCATAGTAATTGGCCTCTTTACCCTTATTCTTTGGTTGTATTTGTCCTTCACGAGGTCTGCCTTGATCGGTATATAAGTTTTTGATAGGTGTATAAGTTAGTGTTTGGTTCAGCTGCAGCAATAGAAAAATCAAAATCACAGTGGTTTAGCAAGGTAGAAGTTTCTTTCTTCACATAAAAGTGCCCTGGAGGCAGATGGGTCAGTGGAATAGAAACCCCACGACCATCAGGAGACCAGGGTTCATCCATCTTTCTGACTCGACCTTGTTAGCATGCAACATTTACCCTCAAGGTCATGATCCAAGGTGGCAAGGGGTGTTCTAGCTGTCATGTCTGTGAAGAACGAAGAGAGAAAGGGCTTAAAAAAAAAAAGATTCTCCTCTTAGATAATTCAACTTCCTGTAAGAGGCATTGCTAGAATGCCTGCATAATGCTCCCACTTAGAGATCCTTGGCCAGGATTGAGTTGCAAGTGGTGTCAGCCAGTGCAGGGAAGACTGGGAAGTGCTGTATTTAGGCAAGCACATTGCAAGCTCAGAAATGACAGCTCTATGAAGGAATCCTGGGAGCTGGATTCGGGACAGCAGCTCTCCTGCTCTGCCTGTGAGTTCCAGCCTCCAGAACAGCATGTGGGGCTGCCACTCACTGGGGGAGGCCAGCATGGCCGTCTCATTTAGTGACTCACAGTACAGTGTCACCCAGGCCCTCAAAAGCAAGCAGTGCAGTGATGGAGACAGACAGTGGCAGTGCCACTTGGCTCAGTTAGGGGGCCCAAGGATGCTGATGCAGGCAGGAGATGGGGGGTGACCCTCTGAGTCTTCTGTCCTCTGATCTTTCCTCATGTTTCCTAATTTCAACCCACAGAACCCCTGCTTTGCTTTGATTTTTTTCCAACTGATGTCCTAATGACACCTGGCGAAGTTGAGAATTCAAGTGATGTCATAATTTGGGAACACTTGAACCAAAATTGGAATTTCGTTGCCAGCTTTTGTAACCCTGAGGCTAGGAGAGATAAGTAATTATTTTAGTATAGTCTTACTAAAGTCCCTGGCTCTCAGTCTTTGTTTTCAGAGTAGAATTTGGTTTTTTGAGTTTGTTCTTCTCTAGAATTATAGGGAGAATTACACCAATCTATCATCACCAATACCTTTTCTCAATTATGGATAAATTAAATAGATGAGAAATCAGCAAAGATAAAGATTTGGATAACAGAATTAGCAGGCTTGACATAAGGGGCCTATAAGAATTCTACAACCAATAATTACAGAATATTCTTCTCAATAATTGTGGAACATTTTCAAAAGTTGACAAACTGGACCATAAAGGAAATCTCAACAAATTTGAGAGAGTAGGACTCAGGCCATGACCTTGCTCTGCAAAATCTAAACTAGAAGACAGTAATAAGATTAATGAAAACATTATCACGTATTTAGAACATTAAAAAAAAAAAACTCCTCTTAGATAATTTAGTTTCCTATAAGAGGCATTCCTAGAATTCCTACATAATACTTAAAAGAATGGGTCAAAGAAAATTCATACTGACAACTAAAAAAATAAATAGAACTCAATGATAATGAAAATATTACATATTAACATTTTTGGAGTGTAGCAAAAATTAGTGTGTTAGGTAAATTTATCCTTTTAGATGATAATATTGCAGAAGAAGAGAGGCTGAAAATTAACTAGCTTAAGAAGTTAGCAGAAGAATAACAGAAGAAACCCAAAGAAACTAGGAAGACTGTGATTAGAAAGAGCAGAAATCAATGAAATGACAGAAAACAAAGAAAGAATATGAAGCAATTTGTGATTTAATAATCATTCACAATAAAATCTCACAGTAAACCTTTAGAATATACCCTTCAGTGCAAGGAAGGCTGTTTTAGGCAAGATGTAAGTTGCATTAATCATAACAAGTAATAAATCCAACTATGTGGCAATAAGAGATTTAAAAGACTAATGTTACTGAAAGCTGGGCACTTGTCCTTGAAGCCACATCAGAAGAACAAGAACAAGTGGTTTGAGGAGAAGAAAAGAGAAGTTTATTACTTTGCCTACAAAGGAGGAAAATGGTAGACTATTGGCTCAAAGTCCAGATTCCTGTACATAAGCAGAAATACAGAACTTTTAAAGGTAGGACCCTCAATTCTGGGCTATTGTCATTTAACTACAGCTAACAGTTCCAATGTCCCATCACTGCCTGAAGATAAAGCCTGTGACCACCACCCACCTGGCAGGTCCACCTGGGATGGAGCTGCCAGTTGAGCTGAGCTATTTTCTGTAACACAAAGAACAAAAGACAATGAACCACCTGCCTGAGGCAGGGATGCAGGTCTTAGTTCCCAAAAAGAGTGGGGGAAGTTTTAAAAAGACAGAAAACATCTTTTTCTATTTTTTTTGGTAGGCCATTCCCTCTATTCCACTAAGACAAGCTAAAAACTGGAAGAAGTAATTTGCAAATTATATAACTGAGAAAATTAGAATTTTAAATTATGTAGAGAATAACAAATAAGAAAAATATAAACAGCTCAGTAGAAAAATGGATAAAAGGTATGAGGAGACAATTCATGGAGGAGGAGACATGATTAGCAAACACGAAAGGATGTTCTCCCTCACTGGCACTAATGCAGTGCAGGTGAGGGAACACCATACACCCACTGTTTGGCAAAATTAAGCAGCCTGACAATACCCAGGTTTTGGAGGGGACATGGGACAATGGATCTCTTTTACATTGTGGGTGAACATAAATGAGCACAAGGACTTCGGAAAGTAATTTTATTACCTTGTAAAGAGGAATATTTATATGCCCTGTGGTTCTGCAATTCCACCCATGGTGGTGTACGTGAGATAAATTCGAGCACGTGTGTAGCAGAAGACAGTACGAGAAAGTTCAAAGCAACACTGTTTACTATTGTGAAAGATTAAAGTTATCTAATGCCCATCACTGTAAGAATATATAAATTAAATGTGATCTTCATATCGAAGTGAAAAAGCCTGAACAATAGCTTTATTCAACAATAGGTATGGATCTTAGACACATAAAATTGAGTGAGGAAAAAAACGAATTGCAGAAGACAAGCATCAGTATGGTTTCTCCCGCCCCCACCTTTGGATCAAAAGCAAGTAAAACTAAATGGTATATTTTTAGGCATACACATATGGGATAAAACAAAAGAGAGAGAATGTGAATCATGTCATTTTTAGGATATAGTGGTTACCTCTGAGTGGGAAACAGGAGGCTAGGGTAGATGGAATCGCAGGCACACAGTTTTCCTGAGATCTGGTTCTGGGGTTGGATGGTGGGTTTGTAGGTGTTTATTGTATTGAAATATATAACAGAAAAGAACCCAGCACAGACCAACAATGATGCTGTGAAATGAACTAAGTTCTATGATGAGTCTGATCCAGGGTCCGTGATGTGTTTTAAAAACAAAAACAAAACTTAATCCCAACAAGTCTGTTTCACTCCTTAATCAATTTTCTATACTGCACGACTAAATGATTTCCAGTGTTGACTCTTTATCATTATCGATTTTATCTTACAGAAACTATCTCCATAGAGATTTGTCATTTAGGATAGATATTTGATTCACTGATCAGTATTTGACCATATCAAACTGTACAATTTTAGCTTTTAATACAGTTTTCTTTTTTCTTTTAGATTTTTATCATAAAAAAGTTAAACATATGAAATTAGAAAGCCATAAAGGATTCCCGTGGACCCTCCTCAGCTTTGACACTTAGTCAATTCATGTCTCATCTACCCCTTTACCTGCTTTCTCCTCTCCCCCAGATCCTTGAAGCAAATCCCAGGCATGACATCATTTCATTTGTAAATATTTCAATAGGCATCTCTAAAAAAATCAGGATGCACTTTTAAAACCATCAAGTATTACCATTGTTATATCAACGTAAATTATTTCTTAATGTTCTAAAATATCCCGTCAGTGTTCGTGTTTCCCCTATTATTACCATCCCCTACCCTCCAGTTTGTTTAAATCCAGGTCCAAATAAAGCCCATTCACTCTGATTGGCTTATACGCCTTTGTGAGTTTCCTTTAAGTTTTCCCAGGACAGATTTTGAAATTCCAAGGTTTCCTAAGATTATTGCATGAAATGACGGCTTTTCGAATATGCCCCTATTTTAAAAGCCTGGGAAAGAAAGCAGTTTCCCTCCTACCTCATCTACCGGTTTCGAATGCCCACAGGTGGCCGCAGAGACCCGAGCGGTCATAGGGTGGATGGAGAAAATCCCCTTCGTGCTGGGCGGCAACCTGCAGGGGGGCGAGCTGGTGGTGGCCTACCCCTACGACATGGTGCGGTCCCCGTGGAAGACCCAGGAGCACACGCCCACGCCCGACGACCACGTGTTCCGCTGGCTGGCCTACTCCTACGCCTCCACGCACCGCCTCATGACGGACGCCCGGCGCAGGGTGTGCCACACCGAGGACTTCCAGAAGGAGGACGGCACCGTCAACGGGGCGTCCTGGCACACCGTCGCGGGAAGTAAGCCTCGCCGCACCTGGGGGGCGTCACAGGCCCAGCGACAGCGGGCTGCTGGCACTGGAGGGCCCGGAGGGTGTCTCCTCCCGGCCCTGCGGCGTCACTGTAGCCCGTGGCGTCATCGCTAAAGGGCAGATGCCGTAGTAGAGAGCACTTGCGCGGTGCTGGCCTTTGACTAAGGGTCACAGGAGCCGCCTGTGGTCGTTGCCGCCGGGTGTGGAGGGGTGTGCCCTCCTCCCGGGTCATCAGTGACACGCTGGAGCTCGCTCCAGAGGGATCTGCCCACGTGAGAAGGGAGCAGCGCTGGCGTCTGTGTCACGGTGGCCTGCTCTTAGCCGCCGCGCTGTTCAGATGTTACCGGGCTAGGGGTGGGAGCAGTTGGGCTTGGTGGCAATATCGGACCAACCCAAACAATCAGAGAGCCCGGGGAGGGGCAGAGAGCGTGCGGTGCTGGCGTAGAAGCCAGGGCTTCCCGCCAGAGCCCTTCTTATTCTGGGGGGCGTCCCGAGCTGTAAACCCGCAGCGGGGGTGGGCATGGATCCCGAGCGCACGGGTGAAGTGACTCCGAGCTTCAGGGGTGTTCTGAGCCCCAACTTCAGGGGTGTTTTAAGCCCCAACAGGTGGTGAAGACCGTTTTGTGCATATCCACCACCCACTGGCGGTCAGCGTGCCGGGCCCCCTACCCCACCCACAGCGCCAGCAGTGTGGGCAACGGGAGGTGTTGCTCCTGGCATCCACAAGGGACTGCAGGGGCTTCTAGTAGAGACTTCCGGAATCCCCTCGCAGCAGCCAGAGGACCCCGTGGTCTGCACGTCAGGACTGTTCCCAGACCGGGTTCCTAAACCAGGAGGGCTGAGGGGGTCCTATTCCCTGCGGTCCCCCTGCATTGGATTGCAAGACCCCAGGCACAATGCTCATTGCTTATTTTCTTCACTTTGTGAGGGTCCATCAAGCCCATGATGAATTTGAAATACATTCAATGTCACATAGACGGGGGTTTAAATCCCACTCTATCATTTGGTTGCTCTGTGACTCTGGGAAAGTTGCTTTACTTCTCTAAACCTTCGTACTTTCCATTTGTAAAATGGGCATGATGATGATGATGGTCTTTATGGTAACATGGCCCTCTGGGGTGCTGTGAGGGTCACATCAGGGCAGGGTGTGGCTGTGCCCTGCGTCTGGCTTACCAGAAAGGCTCGGTCATGACAAGTTCCCGCCCCCTGCAACTCCTTCCTCAGTAGCACGCTCGCCGCGAAGCCCGTGTTATGAGCATATTCCTACTCTCTGTTTCGCCACACTAGTTAATTAGCTTTGATGCTATTTTATTTTGCTACTTTTCAAGTATGTTTCCACCCTTGGGAAAAGAAAAAAAAAGTAGGAATCCTCGTGCCTGGGACCAGGTGAGAATATGCGCAAGCTTGCGGCTACAGAGCAAGCAGAGGCATTTTACCTGTCTCCATCGGCTACAGAGCAAGCAGAGGCATTTTACCTGTCTCCATCGTGGCTTTACCTTCCATAAAATAAAAAAATAAATGCAAATCTCTATCAGGAGAATTTCCTGTTGGCAAAAAGGATTCTTGTTTCTCAATTTTCGCCCTGGAAACCTCCCTACAAAACTCTGTAAGTGCAACGTCTGTTTGTTTTTCCTGGCTGCGGTGACTGAGTGGCGTCCGGACACAGCCGGGTCCCAGTGTCGGGTCTGCAGTGTCGGGTCCCAGTGTCAGGTCCGCAGTGTCGGGTCCCAGTGTCGGGTCCGCAGTGCGGTTCTGAGAAGTGGCTGCTGCGTAACCACCTTGACGGTGTTCGACTCTTTTCCTATCAGTTACATTTTCCATTATTTCAGGGACTTTGTGGCAGAGCCGTGTGGTGGCTCGAGCCTTTTTAATCATTCTTCTTCCTGGCAGTGTGATGCAGTCTGCAGATTCACGTCTTTGTAGATCAATGAAATGGGATTTCTCATTTCCTTCCCTCCCCCGGCAGCTCCATCTTTCCTCGAGGTTCTTTCCCACGCGTGCATGGCGTGCACGGCGCACGGCCGGGCGCCCCGCGGTGGGGAGCGGGCCAGCGGGGAGCAGGGTCGCAGATTCCAAATGCACATCATTCGCGGTGTGTGCACTCTCGTTCCGGAGGGACGTGGTCCTCCCTGTCCCTCACTGCCGTCCCCACCCTCCCCTGCACGGACAAGGTGGGCATGTGGCAGTGTCAGGGGCACAGGGCTGTGGGGACTCCGCTCTGCGCTCCACATTGAAGCGGTGACAGGAGGAGGAGTCCCGTCAGAGAGAGAACACAAGGGAGCATCTCACCGTCCCCAGCTGGGACCAAAGGCTCGTAAAGAGCCGTCTGGGGACGTCACAGCTCCTCGTCCACGTGCCTCAGACAGGAAGTGGCATTTGACTTTCGAAGCCATTCCCCGGCCAAGGCACCACTCTCTGGACACACAGCCCACACTTCCCCACAGCCCTGCTGGTTCCTCGTCACGCTGCCCATTCTTCTAGAGCTTCTAGTGCTTTGAACACATACTGCAAAGTGGCAGGCCACTCCGGGATTTTCAAATATCACATTTATTTCAGTACTAGCAAGGCCTAGAAGGGTGGGAATAATGATGATTATATGTGCAGAGAGGAGTCCAGCCCTCCCAGGAAGTCAAACCTGTGCTCGCAGGTGGCTTTGTTGTCCTGCGACCTCCTCGTGCCCTCTGTAATGCCACACTGCAGAGGTGACTGGATGAGCTTCGACCAACATCCTTTAACCCAGCCGGGCCCGGTGCAGAGGATTTCCCACTACCCTGCCACCGCCCGGCCCTCTGCTGCCACCGTTCCTACTGTTCCTCATTCGCTCACGGGTGTGCTCTGAGGCCTGTTGTGTCACACGTGAGTGGTTCCCGTCTGGAATCTGGCAATGACTGGCCCTATCTTGGGTACCCTTTTGCCTCTGACTTCAGCAGACTGATGGAGTTGCTCTTGACACCCCAAAGCCGTGGTTTTGAAACAGACGTTTTGACGGAGCATTGCAGGAGTGGGCCCTACAGTGAGCTCAGTGAGAAGGGAGGAAGAAAGGGTGTCCGAGAGCGTGGCCAGTGGGCACTCAGCAGCCCCTCTTGTTCCCTTGGTCCCTGCGGAGCCCAGCCCACCCAACTCCGATTTCTGTGAGCCTGACCCTAAGCGCCCAGGGAGGGCCGGTTAGAGGAGCCCCCAGACACTCACGCAGAACATAGCTTGCTAATAATCATCCTGTTCAAGAACAACAATGCTGGGAAGAAAGCCACCAGAGCTTCATGCCGTCTAACATTCCTCTGTGCACCTCACAGACACTGGGCAGTGCAGCGGGTGGAGTGGTGGCCCCCAAAAGCATGTCAGCTTTCTAAAACCCGATCCTGCGGATGTTACCTCATTTGGAGAATGGGTCTTTTCAGGGGTGGTTATGTCAAGGGTCTCCAGATGGGGTTATCCTGGGAAACCTGGACGGGCCCTAAAATGAGTGGGCAGTGTCCTTACAAGGGACAGAAGAAGAGAAGACACGGAAGCACAGGAGAAAACCGTGAGAAGATGGCAGAGATCTGAGCGATGCAGCCACAAGGCAAGGAACGCCCGGGGCCACTCACGGCTGGAAGGGGCGAGGAAGGAGTCTCCCCTGCAGGCACCTTGATCTCAGACTTCTGGTCTCCGGAACTGAGAGAGAATAAGTTTCTGTTGTTTTAAGCCACCCAGTTTGCGGTCATTTGTAACGGCAGCCCTGGGAGACAAGTACAGAGACCAACCACGCATCAGGCTGGGTGCCGCCTGTGTCGCGTGGCCCCGTCGGCTGCAGACTGGGCTTCCTGGGTGAGTGGGTTTTGCCCTGCCATCCCCAGCCAGCAGTGCTCTGCGTGGGGACAAGAGCAGGGACTTGCTGTGACACAGACCGGGCTCCAGCCCCAAGCCCAGCCCTCTCCAGACACGTGATCTTGGACACGATCTCCCCATTCTCAATCTCAGTTTTCTTATTTGTGAGATTGGGCCATGCCATCGACTTCTGCCGGGTCTGGGGTGAGGGTTAAGTAGCCTAGTGGATACAGATGCTCTGGACAGAGCTGGCTTATGTGAGGCACTCACCCAGCCGTGGTAGGGATAGCCGTTTTAATCAATCAGGATAAAAACCTGTTACAGCGCTATAGCGGAGACAGCATAACTATAGAGATCAATTTAATCAAACACTTAAGATCTATAGTGGCAATTAATGGTATTGTTACTCTCAAAATGGTGTGTTAAACTGAGTTCAATAAAATATTTTATCCAAAAAGCACTTATTTGAGTCCTTCTTTTGTCAAAGACATCTTTGCACATGTCTGTCCTCACCATAAACCGTTCTAGCTGCATCCTCTCTCCCCAGTCTCTCCAACCTACACACCTGTGCTCGAATGCAAATTTTTATCTATAGTAGATACTTGTCACCTCGCTGTCCAGTGATGTCTTTGGAATGTTCTTAAATGTTCTTGCTGCCCCCCACCCCCCGCCCCGCCCAGTGCCACGTTGAGCGCTGCTCCATTAAAATGCTGTCCCGTTGTTGGCTTGGCAGGTCTGAACGATTTCAGCTACCTTCACACAAACTGCTTCGAGCTGTCCATCTATGTGGGCTGTGACAAATACCCCCATGAGAGCCAGCTGCCCGAGGAGTGGGAGAACAACCGGGAATCTTTGATCGTGTTCATGGAGCAGGTATGGCGTTGGCACATGGCCGTGCTGAGGGAGACTAGCTAAGAACGCGGCCCAGGAGGTGGCTGAAGGCGTAGGATGGAGTCAGCACTGTGGACTGTGGCCACCTGGGGCCACAGCGTTGCAAGGAGCCGGTGTCTGCTTGCACTTGCTCGGGCCCCAAGGAAGCGAGCTCTAAACCCATGGCGACCGCTGCCACTGGCTCAGAGTGGGTGGCAGCAGTCTAGGGGCTCTCGTGCTGCTTTGTGGGGAGCAGGCCATCCATGTTTGAATCTACACGAACAGGCCCCTTGTCTTAGCCTGGTTGGGTTGCTGTCACAAAATACCACAGACTGGGTGGCTTAAATAGCAGACATTTATTCTCTCACCGTTCTGGAGGCTGGGAGTCCAAGATGAAGGTGCTGGTGGAGTTGGTGTCCTCTGAGCCTTCTCTCCTAGCTTGCAGGTGGCTGCCTTTGTGCTGTGTCTTTACCTGCTCCTCCCTTAGGCATCCTTCCTCTCTGTGTGTGTGTCCAAGTGTCCTCTTCTTATAAGGACACCTGCCATATTGGATTAAGACCTACCCTAACAGTCTCATTTAACTTGATTACCTCTTGAAAGGCCCTGTCTCCAAATACAGTCATATTCTGAGATTTGGGGGTTAAGGCTTCAACATAGGAATTTGGGGGGACACAATTCAGCCCAGACACCCCATGCCAGACCTTCAGAGTCACTGTTGCAGGTGGCAGAAGTGAGTTACCTGGGAGCAGGTGTAACAAGTACCTACTGAAGTTCTGCTGTCCAGCTGGGGAGGGACCCTGCTGTCTTCATTAGGGACCTCGGACACCTTCCCTGCCCCATGCTCCCAAGGACACGCCCATCTTGTGGCATTAATGAGTTAACCAGTTCTAGTTTCGTGTTATAACTAACCTAGCCCCACTGAGAAACAGACTAACTGGAAACCAAAGGAATAAACAAAAACAAATGGTGAGCATCAGGGCTCCTGACATTTGTAAGTAACAGACATATGGCTCCCCCTTCTCCGCCATTCGTTAGGAAGCGAGATCTGAGGCCACTCAGAGGTTGCCCTTCTTGCAAGGGTTGTCGGAGATGAGTCAGAAGACGCACTCAGCTCAGGGATTGGGTTGCCAGCTTCCGGTTCCCTGTGGCTGCTCCCCTGCACAGGTGGCAGAGTTTGGCACCAGGATGGAGCCTCAGAGTCCCCCCCAGCCCCCGGAGGTTCCAGGAGGCTTGGTGCAGCCCCCATGAGCTTCCCTGGCACAGGAGGGGGTGGGCCTCTTCTTCTCTTTTAGGGAAATGTCTCACTCAAGGGGCTTCTGTCCCCACCCTGGAATTTCATGAGGGAAAGCTCTTTTTCTTTTGCATATACATAAAGAGAGAAGGCCTTGACTATAGCAACTTGATCATTCTTAAGTAATGATGCAATTTACCCAAAATGCCTCCTATGGGTAAAATGCCCAGGCACAGTAATATGTGTAAAGAAGGCCTCTGGAAATGATGGTAGGTCACCTTGGATTGTCACATCATTCTACCAATAGGGAAACTGAGGCACCGGGTTCAGAGTTGATGTCTGTGCTGTAACACAGCTAATCACTGGGAGAGGCCCACACAGAGTTGTCATTTGCAAGAAGGTCTCTTTGATTCTTTTCTTTCCTCTCTGACTGTTAAATCATTAAGTCCCTGTAGTCCAGGAAAGTCAAAATAAATGTGCTTATAAAAATTAAATTCCAGTTTTTAGTGGGTATATTTCTATGAACCATCTCAAATACTAATATTTTTTAAGCCTTTGGAATATTTTAGTTCTAATGGAAGATTTCCAGTGCACGGCGGGCCCACAGGGAGTGCAGGAGTTCACGCAGCAAATGCACCCACGGCCCGGCGAGCCTTTTGAGCGAGACGTGGCACTGTGAATTCCTGGCGGGGAGGGGCCGACCTTAGGTTTACAGCCCAGTCCACTGTGCTGGCTGTGTCCAGGGCTGGTTGGTGGCCTCACCCTGTGTCTCATCCTGTTTCCTGAGCAGATTCATCGCGGCATCAAAGGTGTGGTGAGAGACTTACACGGAAAAGGAATTCCAAATGCCGTTATCTCCGTAGAAGGCGTTAACCATGACATCCGAACAGGTAACTGCAAATGCATGCAAACTATTTCTTGGTAGGAAATACCCATTCTCCTGAAGTGTTCCACTAGAGTTACAGTCACGAATTGAATGCCAGGAACTGCCTACTCAGAGCTCCTTCCCCTGACTGTCCACTGTCCAAGAGGCCCCGAAAGCGAGGTCTGTACCCTGTGCTCTCTGGCGCATCCCTGTCCCTCCCGCAGGACGGGCATGGGAGCAGCCGGCCACCGTCTAGGGTCCGTGGAAGTTCATGAGAAGTTGAGGAAGCAGCTCTTTCTCTGCGGGACTGTGACATCCGCGGGCAGCTTGGCTCCCAGATCGGGCGGGATGTGGCCCAGCAGTGAGCGCTGCAGGCCCGGGGCAGGACAGGCATGCTGCTCCCGACAGGCAGAAGCCGTAGGCTGGGCGGACGCAGCAGGGCTGGAGTGGGGAGTCCCGCGAGGACGGCAGCAGCCGGCGGCTGGGAGAGTAGGATTGGCCGTCGGTGCCCATCCAGAGAGGGTGCCCATCCAGAGAGGATGGGGAAGATGCGGTTTTCCCATTAAATCACAGGAAGCCACGGAACATGATGTTTTAGGAAGACTGAGGTGTCTGTACTAGAAAGAGTGGAATACTAATCAGATTAACAATAAGCTCGCTCTCTTAATAGCTTTACGTGTGCTAACTCAGCGACTCCTCACAGCAGTCCTATTTTCTCGATGCCGTAATTCAGCAAGGAAACGAGGCCCATGAAGAACTGCAACAGGGAGCCCCGGCTCCCACCTGCTATCCGTCACGCGTGGTGTTAACGAGTCAGAAGTTGGCACACGGGATGTCCATTACAGTGGAGAGCAGAAAATTCTAGAATCTTGGATAATCTGAGGGTCAGAGGATGATCTCTAAGAGGCAGTGCTGAAGTCTTGTTCCAACTCTCTTTGCTATAGAAGAAAAGGAATTGTAAGACCTGGGGTCTTATAAACCAAACACGGTTTTCAGTTCCTAAAATTCCAAAACAAAATCTCACGTTTTTAAATGCACTTACAAGGTGGCCGCACGGCCCCAGGACAGCAAAAGACGGTCCCGCAGCCCAGGGTCACTCAGCAGCAGCAGAAACACGGTGCTGTTTCTCACGTGATCTGTTCTCAAAGAACTTTCGTGTGTGTTTTCTCTCACTTCTTTCCCTTGGGCCCTTTGAGGGACACGGGCCTTTCTTTCCCACTTATTCAGGTGAGAAACATGCTTAAAGGGATTAGTGGACCCACTGAGGGCTTAAGAGGTGAGTGGGGCTTGAACCCAGGTCTCTGACTCCCAGGCCGGCTGGGAAATGCTCTTGGACACTCCGCGGGAGCCACGCCAAGAGGCTGCCCTGTGCTTTGCTGATTAGAAAGTGATAAGAAAACAAAGGTCCTCCAGGTTTTCCCTTTGAGCCCCAGGCTGTCAGCACCAGGGACAGCCCAGTTTTAACTGAAAATGCCGTGTCCCAGGAAGCAGTCCCAGGCGGACAGGGACAGCTGCTGCCCATCACCTGAGCCTCACTGTTGTTCCCTGTGGACTGACAGCCACACATGGGCTCATCTCTGTGGCTCCTCCTTCCGCCTGAGCCTTCTTCCCCAGGAAGTCCCCTTGTTCCAGCCTCATCCCCTTCTTTGCTCAGATGTCATCTGAGCATCTGACGTCTTTGCTCAGATGTCATCATCTCAACGTGGGCAATCCCGACCACCCTGCTGAGCACCCTGCACCCCTGCCCTGCCGCACTGTTGGTCTCTCTTGCCTGTCCCAACTTTGCCCTTTTCCCGTGGCACTTCTAACATATTATAAAGCAAGCTAATATTTTTTGTGCTTATTAATTATTTCTGCCTCCCCCGGCCCCCTACGAGGGCACAGATCCAAGTAGGCTGCCCACGCTGGTGGGTGTTCTCAACGACTGCTTGTTGAATGAATGGCTGGACGGACGTTGCATGTGTCTCTAGGATTGCACAGCGAGTGGCAGAGCTGATGAGAGCCAAGCGCTTGGGACTCCAGGTCCAGTGCTCCTTTCTTTAGCTCCATGCTGTCTCTCCTGAGGGGGAGGAGAGGCCCTTCCCTGCAAACTGTTCATACTGAAGGAGCAGAGCCTTTCCTACCAGCAAATGGTCCCATTCGACCCTCCAGGAAGCGGAGACTTTGGGGCATTAGGACGAGTGAGGCTGGGATCCAGACCTGGCCCCTGTGTTCTTCCATGCCAGGCTGCCTACTGATGTCCCTGGCGTGGAAGGCCCATTATTTAAATAGATGAAACGTGTCTGAAATGCCCCAAAACAGTAAACTGCTGTGTAATGCCAGACGTCACATTCTTTCCATCTAGTTACCGATTTCTTCACTCGATAACATTTGTTTGAACATTCCTACCACCCGACCTTGATCTTATAGCCATGGACCATGAGTTCTCACACGGTACAGCATGGAATTTTGTACACAGTATCCCCTCATAGGCATCCATGTGCATTTCTTCACTCATTTACTCATCTATGCATTCATTAATTCAACAAGCGTGGATTTGAAACATTGCCTATGAGCTCCTCTAAAAGAGTAACTCATAAAAGGGCCTGGAACATTCCTTGGACCATTTGGTTCCTCGTATGCAATGTGCGAAAACAGGAGGGCTTTAAACTGAGTGGGAGATGAAAAGGCCCTGGGGCCCCCTGAGCTCAGATGAGAACACTTTGCCTAATGGGCTCTGAATTTCAAGCCCCTGCAATCAAGGAGACGGTTCTGATGAGCTAATGGGAAATGCGTCTCTCTCCCTCTACCCCCCATAAATCATTTCCCGGCGCGATTCTCACGGCAGATGCTCCGCACTTCACACACGGCGCTTCATTTTGTTTCAGCATCTTTCAGAGCTCCAGAAAAGCTCTGAATTTGCCTTGATTTCTGTCTGAGGCTTATGTTATCTGACAAGTTTTATTTCTAGAGGGATTCTGCATAAAATAAACAGAGGTATTAAATGGAGTTCCCCAGGGAGGAAAGCTTTAGATGCATGTAACCATGCTGGCCACGCACCTGGCCCAGGTCCCACCCGACTGTCCTTTGCTTGGTGGGCACTGAGCCGACCCGCTAAGGCACGGGCGTTCTTTGGGCCCGGGTTGCCCATCTGTCCACCCGTGCTGAGCGAGGCCTGCTGTCGGGTAGCCTCCACTGTGGCGCTAAGTATTGAACTGATGATGTATCGTATGACACACTGTTAAGTGCTGAGGGGTAAACTACAGCTTAACACAGGGACCAAGACGGGAAAAGGAGGCAGGTTCCACTCGAGGACGCAGGGTCTGGTAGCAGGGAGGGAGGGGCACAGGGAGGACCCATGGAGGAGGAGGCTCGTGCAGGCTTGTCCTCCCGTGCAGGGAGCCCACAGGGATGTCTCGAAAGGCCAACTGCACTGTGGGGCTCAGACCATCCGGTTTCATTACCAAGACTGCTTGATGCGCCTCTTGTCTTCTGAAACAGCATGGAGTGGCGTTTTATTTAGTTGAAACCCTTGCATTTTCACTGAAGGAAGACACAGGACGCAGTGCTGAGAAAGACCAGAGAGCCACCTACCTGCGTGTGTGCGCACCTGGGCCTCTCAGGTGGAGTCCTGTCCGCCATCAGCTGACTGTGCACGTGTGGCCGATAGCTGCCCCCTTATTTCCTTTTCAGTGACTTCCTGTGCTCCTGCGAGCTCACTGCATTACTCAGGGTGTCTCAGATGAATCAGGGTTATAATGTGAATTTAAATATGATGCTTCAAAGTATTGTATCTGTATACATGTGTGATGTATGTTTACACACACACACACAGAGTTTTCATCCATCCCTTGGAAGACTCCAGGTCTTGCTTAGGCAAGTAAAACTCATCCAGGGCCTACTTAGCACTTGGTCAAATCAGCCTTTCTCTTCTTTGCCCGGCACCAAAGCTCTAGACTGGGCAGGACATTGAGAAACTCGCCCATGACTAGCTGTGACCTCATGCAGGATATTATGCCTCTCTGGGCATCAAATTACTCATATAGAAAAGGGAGCAGGCGGCATCATGGAGTGGCTCAGAAGGTCCTGTGAATTAGGGCCTGGTCCTTCTGTGTGCTATGTTCCCCAAGGGTCTTTGTTGTCCCCTTTGCTGTCTCACAGCCTCTAACGTGTCATGGATCCAAGTGTGCTCACCAGGCTGTAGGCCCCCTGGGTGGAGTGACCTCAGCCTAGAACCCATCGTTACAGGGATCTATCCCAGAGCTAGGGATGGACCGAGTCCCATTAGGTGCTGGGTGGGTAACTGGCCGGTGGTGTACCTGGGAGCCAGGGGGTTCTCCCTCAGCCCTAGCAGGGGTCTCTGCCTTCAGCTTCCCTGTGGAGATACCCAGGGCCCTCTAGGCTGCGGCCATGGCATGAGGTACAGATGCCAAGGCCTTCCCTGGGTCATTTGGCTCAGCCCGTGTAGTCCTTTCCTTCTCTTGTCAAAGTGAAGAGCCACACCCCTTGCAGAAATTGTTATTCTGCATTGTAACCATGCTAGGGAAAGCCAGGAGGCCACGTGCTGATGGCTTTTCAAGATGGCATTTTGTGGTGAGGGCATACCATTTGGAAGTTCAAGTTCATGATGAATGGCTCCTGCTGTCACCAAGCAAGGAGTGATCGTGATCGTTTCTGCCCCTCTGCTCATGTGCACTAACACTGCAGGGAGCCCACATCTCGGCGCGCTTCCTGTTAAAACCATTAAGGCAGTTTCCGAGGAGGACAGCGTCTTGGCTTCCAAGATGCATTAAGAATTTGCATCTGCAGGAGCTCCAGTTCCATGCTGCCTGCCTCGGCGTCTTGCTCTGGCCCTGGGGGCTGGTCATGGAACGAGGTTTGTGGTGTCCACGTTAGGAAAGAACTGCCCTGAGTTCTCCCCGTTTGCTTTTCACAGCCAGCGATGGAGATTACTGGCGCCTGCTGAACCCCGGAGAGTACGTGGTCACAGCGAAGGCAGACGGCTTCACCGCGTCCACCAAGAACTGTATGGTCGGCTACGACATGGGGGCCACGCGGTGTGACTTCACGCTCAGCAAAACCAACCTGGCCAGGATCAGAGAGATCATGGAGAAGTTTGGGAAGCAGCCCGTCAGCCTGCCCGCCAGGCGGCTGAAGCTGCGGGGGAGGAAGAGACGACAGCGCGGGTGACCCTCCAGGACCCTTGAGACACATCCTGGACCTGCGCAAATTAAACCAACCCAGCAGTAGCTCCGTAGCGGCCTCACTCACTGTCGTTTTCTCTGTAATTCAAGGGGCACCTGGGGCAGAGTGTGCATTGCAAGGCTGGTCCCAGAGTAGGGGGCTGGGGCTTAGGATGTTTCCCTTTTTCTGTTCCCATTTATCCAAATACCTTGGACAGAGCAGCAGAGAAAGGCTGGTGGGAGTGAGAGAAGTTGGCAGGTCAGCCTGGGAATCTGAGAGGGAGGAGCTGCCTGTTCTCGGCCTCCGGGACACGCGGGGAGGGACACCGGTGCTTCCCTCTGCGTGACAGCAAGAGTGCCGTGTGCATTTGCGATTTGTGCAACTAACATCGCAGCATCCCTGGAGCCCAGCTGTCTCAAAGGTTGCCGTTTCAGATGCTCCCGGGCATCCTAAGAGAATCCGCCCTCTCTGGCCCTGGGGCATTCCAAGCTGCTCCAGATAAATTCTGCATTGTGTTGACAATGGGGACATTACCAAGTGAGCATCAGTCAGCCTCCTGAATCGGTTCAGCTTTCCTTTTCAACAAGGCATTGTGTTCATAAAAGGAGAGAAGATTGTTGGGCATCGGGCATGGGGCTTACCCACACTGGGTCCACAAAGAACCCCGCAAACACCCTGCAGACCCGGTAGCCCTGGGATGGGGGCACCCTAGGCAGGGAGGGCCAGAGGTTCAGCCTTCCTGAGGCACCAGACAATTTAGCCTGGATCTCCTTGTTGTCCTGCTGGAACTTGGAATGAACCAGAAGAGGGCTGGCCTGCAGTGCTCTCTGTGCTTGAGGGGTGGCCCCTTTGTGGAATGAGCACTCCTGAGTGGGCCTGACATCAGTCTGGGAGTTATTTTTGCCGTGTGGAATGCCAGATCTTCCAAATTAGGCTAAATTTGATAAACAAAAGGATTCCCTGTGGAGCATCAGCCTGAGAGGGGTTATTGAATTATCATGCAAGAAAAAAAGTTGTGTCTCACGTTTTATTCATGTTGCTGCCTCATTGAGCTGGGAAGAATGAAAAAAATAAAGCAAATGGTAAAATCCTTCTAGCGTGTGGGTGTTTGGGGTAGACTTGCAGTCGCCCAAATGTCATAGCCCCACTGCCTCTCTCTGAGGTCGGTCGCCCTAGAGGTGGCGCCTGCGTGGGGGTGGGCATGCTGGTTCCCAGGAGCTCAGCACGGATGCTGACAGCTCTGTGCCTCCTGCCTCCTGCCCAGGGGAGACATGTGCTTGGGACCCACTGGTGGTCTTTGGAGATGCCAGTGAGCATCTTTGGATAAAAGATCCTCATGCAACTTTTTGGCAGTCGACACCCAGGGTCAGCAAACTTTTCTTATAAAGGGTCAGTAAATGTCTTAGGTGTTGCAAGCTGTACCATCTCCATGGTAACTACTCAGCTCTGCTATTGCAGTGCATGGGCTCTATTCCAGTAAGACTATTTACAAAAACAGGTGGTGGTTGGACTTGCCGCCTGCAGGCTAGGATGCATTGACTCAGCTATAAACCAGTGTTGTCTGCTAGAACTTTCTGTGATGATGGAAATGATCTATTCTGTGCTATCTCACATGTGGCTGTTGAGTACCTGAACGGTGACTAGTGTACCTTAGAAACTGGATTTCATTTTAATCAATTTAAATTTAACTTTCCGTAGCCAGTTGTGGCTGGGGGCTCCCTATCGGACCCTGCAGCTCTCAACTAAGCCCATCATAGGAAATCTCGCCCTCCCATTGTATATGGGAGATGATGCTATAAAGCATTTCAAACTATAAACCACCTCTATAGTTTGGAAGGGTTCCACGTATGCTTGGGGGATTGTGGATTTGTCAGGTCCCTGCCATGACTGACCCAGAAGCCAGGTTCTGGCTACTGTTGCCAGGCTGCCCAGTCTTACTGCCAGTATTGAGCTCCGGAGCTTTCCGGGCTGTCATATGGTCTGCCGCACTCATGCAATCCCTGGCCCTCTCCGCAGGGCCTGCCACAGTCTGAGCCCAGTAACAGGTGCCTGGGGCTTGCAGGCGGGAGCTCTGCACCAGGGCTAGCCAGGGCCCTTTGGTGTCTGGCCTGGTGTCAGGCAGCCTCTCTGATCTCTCACCTGCTCCTGCAAGGTGAAGCCCTTGGTCTCGGTAGACTCTAAAGGTCAGACTGGCTGTGCCGGCCGCTGATTCTGGCAGAGAGCCAATGTCCTGTGTTCCTAAAGTTCTGTTCTGTGGGAGTCGCTTCTCTCCTCGCCCCCCCCCTCCAGCACTGCAGCTCCGGGTGGGACCTTCCAGCCCGTGCACGCCACCTTCCTGGCTGCAGCTTCCGGAACCTCTCTCCTTCCTGCTTCGCGGCCACAGTTTCCCTCCTGGGTCTCTCTGGAGGCTCAGCTCTGGCCTCTGCATACACTGTCCCTCCCCACAGCTGAAAACCTTCCTGCTCCTCTCTCCACGTGTCTCAGATGCCACCTCCTCCAGGAAGCCGTCCTGTGCCTCAGGACAGTGGTGACTTCTCGTGTCTTTCAACCAACCTGCCGAGCCCCAGGGCCTCTCAAGGGGTTTCCTTACCTCAGGTTCTCCCTGCAGTGGGTGTGGACGCTCCCCAAGGGCAGAGGCAGCTCCTGCCTTAGTTTCCCTCCTGCAGGGCTGCTGCCCACCCACAGCGGGCACTCCATCAATTCAATTCCTATTGAACCAGCCTCCTGCCACGGGTGCCTTGTTTTTAAGATTCCTTAAAAGTTAAGAAAAAGTGACTTCAGAAAATGAAAATCTGTAATTTGAATTTATTTGATGTCTTTTTACCTCCTCTAGTGTCTTCACCTTTTAAAGTAAATTCTTGTGCTCGATTGAGTGGAAACATGTCTCTAAAAGATTGATAGACTGTTTTGGATGCTTTTCTGTAGGACAAAATCAACTAACGCCATACCTCTCCTTCTGGCAGAGTCCGCTTTGCATTTGCGACTTTTACTGTCCCACGCGAGTCCCAGGCGGGCGGTGGCAGGGTGGCCCTTTCTAACGCTGCCCGCCTTGACGTTGACGGGCATTCGTGGGCCTGGGGCACCCACAGGGGGAGCTGCACGGAGCAGAAGCTGGAATCAGGACCTGCGAGTGATCACAGGCAGGAAAGGTGACCTTCACCTGGATGTGAAAGATGACCAGAGTCCACCTGGCAGACTGGGGGGACGGGGAGGGGACAGAGCTGGCCGGCCTCTTCAGGGAGAGGGGACAGTCCGTGCAGTGGCTGAGATGCAGAAGACGCCAGCGAGGGAGGCAGGGCGAGCCTTGTGCAGGGCCCGAGGCGCTGGAGTGGGTTTCGAGCTCCCCCGGTGGGTGCCCCAGGCCCACGGAGCACTCGGCAAGGGCCACACGCGCTGTTCCAGGAAGTACAAAGGGGGCAGGGAGCAGCTTCTTGCTGGAAAGGAATGGGCCATTTCAGAGAGCGGTTACTGCAGTCTAAAAATATGCACGTTAAAGAGCTTTCTTTTAATAAATGGAGTGGAAAAATTGTTCAGTTCTTAAGAAAGGAGGAGAAATGGGCTATTTAAAAAAAAATCAAGCAACTGCAGGACAAGCCTCAGGAGTTAATTGCGAACCTAAATTTGGCAAATCTGGCAGCTTTGGAATCATTTCCCACACATTAGCCTGCCCATCGAGCCAAGCACTGGGGCCGGGGCGGACATGTCATTATTTCTACCTTACTGGTGGGGAAATGAGGCCTGGGACGGCCAGGAACTCGCCTAAGCTCTTTTCTGATTATCAGGAAGCAGAAATTTTGAGAGAGAGACTCCCATTTGTAAAAGAATAGAGATGGAAAAGTTTGCAAGATGGGAATTTGGGGCAGAAAAATGTCCACACTGGGACAGTTTGTCTAACTGTGTGCATTGGTTAGGGGTTCCCCGAAAGACAAGTCTGAGACAAGAACTTGGGAGCAGGAGTTAATCTGGGGGGTGGTCCCAGGGAGCAGGAGTGAGGGAGCGGAGAAAGTGACCTGGCAGGGGAAACCAGGATAAGGTTGCTGCTGCAGGCAGTGAGGAGCACATGGAAGGCCTTCCGCTAGGGCCCAGTGCAGGGCAGGGGCCTGTTGACTTGTCCCCTGCTCCCTTCCCAGTGGTCGAGGCTTGTCCCCAGCTTGTTCAGTCCCTGTACTTTTGAGCTGCACTTGCGTGAGGCCTGGCGGGCTCCTGGGTGCGTGAGAAGGGCCTGCTATGGAAAGCGAGCAACTCGGGGCTCTGGGGGTGGATGATGCTGGCAGAGGTGAGTGTGGGTCTGAGACATGAGGTGGACCTGGGGACACCGTGCAGGTCCCCACAGGCATCTGCAGCACCAAGCAAGGCATATGTGAAAGGTGGGTCTTGGAAAATGGCCCACGAATGGGACAACTGAGCAGGAGACGTTCTGAATTCACCATTTCAACACCAGGATCCGGGCAGACACCAGGAGTTTCTCCCCCCACCCCTCCGCAGGGCATTGCTGGTTATAAGGGATCTTGGACCACTGGTAACGGGAGGGAAGGAAGTAGACTAAAGGTTGGGGTGAGCACTTTGATTCATTTAACAAGTATTTATGGAACACCTACTGTATACCTGGTGTTGCGTTAGGCTGAGGAGAAACAACAGAGAAGTAAGCAGGAAATGTTTCTGTCTTCACCAAAATGGCATTTTCGAGTTCTTAGAGTTTTCCTGGTTGTTCCATCCCACTGGGCTTCCTGCGGATGTATAGGAGACGGGACAGTGGGATTGCAGGTGGAGAGAATCAGGTGAGGCCCTGCCTCGCTTCTCACCCAGGCTGTGGTCACTCCTCGCAGGACCTGTCGGTGCCGGCTGATTGGTTCCCCGGGACACGCAGTGACTTTGTGAGGGGAACTGCCAGCCTGTTCTGTTCAAACTGAGACTCAGGAAAGGGCACGGCTTTGAATCCATGTCTGACGTGTAGAAACGCACCTTGCTTATCTCCAACAAGTGCAACCAATTAATAACACGGGAGCAGACAAGCGTGCCTGGCGGGAACAGGAGCAAATTCCCAGAAGTGCCGGAGTCCCCGAGCGTCGTGCAGAATGCGGTCCCGCGTTACCAGGGCTGCGGGCTTCTTAAGAAAAGCCAGAAAGCAGGATTTTGGGGGGGGGGATTTATAAGTTGGCCATTAATTCAAATAAATATAATTTCTGAGGCCAGATTTGGTTTGTGGCCGTGGGCTCATGAACCTCTGATTAGAAGCAACTCTTAATTTTCTCTTTTCTTTTCTCCTCCCCACCCCCACAAGACTAATGCATGCAACCTCAGCCTCTAAAATCATGCCCATAAGTCTGGAACACAAGGGGCATCTTTATTTGAACTTTTGGAGTCTGATACAATCTTTTCAAGGCATTTTAACCCAATTATAGCTTAAGCCTGGCCCAAAAACATCACCGGGAAATATGAGCTTTCTTAGATTAGATTACGAAGATCACTTTTATGGTGATTTTTTAAGATTAATCTTTGGGGGGACAAGTCATATCTGTCTCAAAGCAATTCAAATAAAGGATCTTTTGTGCTCAAAATTGTTTATAGCTCCTACTATTTACCGATTCTCAATAGGAAAAGCTGTATTCTGCATTTCTTGGTATTTTTTTTTTTTTCTGTTCTGATTTGTTTTGTTTTACATTTCTGTCCTAGAAAAACTCCGAAAGAGACTGCGTGTAGCTTCTGCCTGACTCTCCTCTCCTGCCAGGGAGGCTGGGCGGGCAGGGGCCCTGGGTCCTGGGGGGGAGTGGGAGAGGGGCCTTCCCGGAGTTGTGGTATCTGCCCCAAAATGACTCTGATGGAAAGGGATAGAGGTGGGGACAGCTTCCCCCAATGGGGGAGGCACAGCAGAGGGACCTGGGATATTGGGAGTTGAGGTGAGGTGCTCGTGGGAGAGGAGAATAGTGCTGGGCATGGCGTGGAGAAGACGTGGGATCTGACAGCTGGGGCTGTCAGTGGAAGATGCACAGTGCATGGGAGGGATGGGATTTGTGCCTTGACTGTGCTTGTCAAGGGTGGCTCCACTGGAAGTAGGGAACACAAGGGTCACCCTCATGACAGAAGTTAGGG